TTTGGCAGGTTCGATTTGGCAGGTTCGATTTGGCAGGTTCGATTTGGCAGGTTCGATTTAGTAGGTTCGATTTGGCGTTTGGTTTATGGGAGGATTACATAGTACTTACATACATAGTACTATGTATACTATAGTATGTATGCATATACTTTTGCCAGTGGCATGATTCTTTCCAGAATCAGATTATTTCCCGGTCGCGCGTACTATGTACTTAGTACATAGTATCTATCTCGTCCTCCACCATACATATACATATATACTACTATACATAGTACTTATATGTATGTACTTAGTAGTATGTATGTACCCGTCCTCACAATTTGGACGGTTTGACCAAACCCAACTCCCTCTTCGCGCGGTCTCGCAGCTCCCTCCGCAGATACTTCCCGATCGCGTTCTTGGGCAGTTCCTTCACAAAGACAACGCCCCCCCGCAGCTGCTTGTACGGCGCCAGGCGCTGCTTGACAAAGTCCTTGATTTCCTCCTCGCTGATCTCGGCCGGGTCGGCAACCACATACGCCCGTGGGAGGTCTGTGCCGGGATCTTCTGGCATGTTGACGCCCACGACGGCGGCTTCCTGGATCTTGGGATGGGTGAAGAGCAGGTTCTCGATCTCGGCGGGCGCTACTTGCAGACCTTTGTATTTGAGGAGCTCCTGAGGAAACATTGCTGTTAGCAAAATACATAGTACTATGTACCATATACGTATTCTGTCAGATTATTGGAATTGACGAACCTTCTTCCTGTCGACGATATAAAACTTGCCGTTCCGCAGGACTCCAATGTCGCCGGTGCAAAACCAGCCGTCGTGGAACGCCTCCTTCGTGGCTTGAGGGTTGTTGAAATAGCCTTGAGTGACGAGCGGACTCCGAACGAGCATTTCGCCTTCCTGCCCTGGCTCAACGTCGTTGTAGTTCTCATCGACCATCCTGCACCAGCGGTGAGCAACTTACTATACAGTCAAACACTGAACACCGCTCTCACCTGATTTCGACATTGGGAAGGATCGGAGAAATGCTACCGGTCGTATCACTCTGTCCCCTGGGCATCATGGTCACTGCACCTGTCGTCTCACTCAATCCCCATGTCTGGCCGATGAAGGTCTCTCCTTGGCCAAGTTTGGAGTTTGCAGCAGTCTGCAAGTCCCCGTCCATCGGGGCCGCTCCAGTTGTGGCGGCGTCGAGGGACTTGAAGTGGTCCTTGACGTCAGGGGACTTGGATATCCGGAGATATATGGAGGGGACGGTGTAGAAGGCGGTGATTTCGTATTCTTTCATGTACTTCAACAGTAGACTCCACTCGTACTTGCGCATCCAGACCACCAACCCTCCAGCAAAGAAGGGTGCGGCGAGATATCCGAACAGACCGGCAATGTGGCTGATGGGGAGGTGGGCAAGCGTCCGGTACGGCTTGAGCTCCTTGCCGGCTTCGATCTGCTTCGCCGCCCACTCTCTTCCAGCCATGGATGTCACAAAGATCTCTTGCACGAGGTTTTCGTGAGAGATCATAACACCTTTGGGGAGTCCCGTTGTGCCAGAGGACCATAGGATTACGATTAGACTCTTCTTCAACGCCGTAGGATCTGTGATGCGCTCCCACTTCAGCGTCTGGTCGGAGAGGGCATTGATCCGGCCATCTATGCTTGTCAAGCTCCACGAAGGACTGGATTCCAGGACCAGAACCCTTTCCAACGGGAGATTGCATTGTTTCGCCGCTTGGGTCGCCACGTCTTTGTGCTCCGACCCACAGATAATGAGGCGACTGGTGCCGACATTGACCTGTCGAGCCAGATCCGCTACCGTGGAAGAAGGACTGGCGGCGGAGTACACTCCTCCAGCGGCGATGGTGCCATAAAATGCCGCTGGCACCATGGGCTGGCCATAGCTGATGACGGTGATGACATCCTTGTTCGGACCAGTGGCACCGACGCCATAGTGATGCCGTAGACCATGGGCGATCCTTTGAGTGAGGTTCAGAAGGTCCTTTTTGGTGATCTTGTTGGACGGGTTCGCTGCTTCCTGATGTAAAACGGTGTCGTCCTGGGCCGCACAGTGTTCGGTTTCTGGATTGAATAAAGTCAGTACCGTTTTGCATCAATGAGCGAAAAGGCAGAACGATACCAAACAGTAATGTCAAGAGGTCCAGCTTCGGGACGTCGAGAGTGGGTGTCTCGGGATTGCGATATATTCTAGCCATGATCTTGATGCCAGCCGGGGAGGGTGAGTTTTGTTCCACCAAATGCCAACGAATAGAATTCTATCCAGAGATCGGTAAATCCTCAAACGCCGGCCACAGTCAATACATAGTACTATGTATGATAGAATTTTTGCCTGGGTAGAGCATCCTCCATCTTGCCTGTTTCTCGGTACTGCTCCCACCTATTTGATGGGGGAGCCTTGCTCGCGCGGTGTGGGGTTGCAGGGAGAGCGAAGAACCGAGGTCTAGGGGAGAACTGAGATCCGGCTCCAGGTACCCCGGCTATCCAGATGAAGGGAGGGGGAGTGAGCATTGGCAGGGCAAATGTCAGCCTTGCAGGGAACCAACCTAACTGAGATAGACAATCACAGTCACTGCTTCGCCCCATCTGGCCGTCTGTCAGTTGAGTGTCAGTAGTTCCGTCGAATCATGGATGAGCCTGCGCCTCAGACCAACCGTAGTCCATCCCCGTCAGCCTTGCGTCGCCTAATAGGGACTAGTCCAGCCTCGTAGGCACTCTATCCCTAGCACTGACGTCACTACGATTTTGAGGCCAATCTTTCCCTGAAAATCTTGGGATCCAGCGAGAGCCAGACTCTTCCATATCATTCACTTCTTCCGGCGTGCAAAAAAAGCTTAATCGTCACGCCATGGAGAGCCGTCGGGACAGGAAGATCTCACGCTCAATCGTCTTCGCCGTCCAACAAGACGACAAGTCCGAGCAGCGGCTCAGACTATGGCGCCCTCTCAAGACCTTCTTCGCCCTGTACGGTCTGCTCTTGGTCAGACTTCGTCCCGAGTTGTTCAAGAGACTACGGAACAAGACATGGAACCTGTCAGACGACGAGTACAAGGCTAGCTTCAGCGACAAGGACTCACTCGTCCCAAAGGGCGATATGGGCTATTCGGGCTCGGTACGTTGAAAGAGACCCTTCTCCAGAATGTGTGGTTCTAACAAGGGCATCTAGACATTCTTCAACACGAAGGACAACAGATTCCTCATCAAGTCCATCCCTCGGCGGTTCGAGCACACCTTCTTCCGAGACGACCTGCTGGAGCCCTATGTATCGCACATGGAATCCCACCCCAGGTCACTCCTTGTCCGCATCACCGACTTTCTCGGGTGGCGCTATCCGAGCATCGGCGGCCTCTTTGGCATTGCCCCGACTTACCACCTCGTGATGGAGAACCTGTTGCACGGCCAGGAGGAAGATTCCGCCTGGCAGACCTTCGACCTGAAGCCCATGTCGTATTTCTTCCCGGAGCGCGACATCGCCGGCGGCAAGCTCGCCTCCGAGGCCACAAAGTCCAAACTGGCCGACGACTTCGACGACAAGATGGTCCTCAGCCGCGAGCAGGCCGACGAATTCTTCCACCTCCTCGAAGAGGACACGCAACTCCTCGCGCAGCACAATGCCGTCGACTACAGCCTGATGCTGGTGCGGATCCCGAAGCCTTCTCCCTCTGCCGCAAGCGAGAGCCAGAAGAACCCCTTCGACGACCCACCGACCTGGCGGACCGGTGTGCCCAGCCAGGACGACAAGTGGCTGTTCCGCGCCGTGATCCTGGATTTCTTCTGGGCCAAGCACAAGGTCCGCGCGATGACCATGACGATGCTCATTAATGCATGGCGCATGATTGATGATAAAGGCCCGATGAGCATCACCACCGCGGCCCCTGAGTACAGGGCCAGGTTCTTGGAAATGTGCAGGGAGATTGTCAAGGTGCAGGAGGAGAGGCAGGAGCGGGAGGAGGAGTAGTAGAAGAATTCATTATTTCCTTTTTCCTCATTGTCCGTTCTTAGCAAGCGAGCCGGGTTCCTGATTCGAATTGTTGGCCAGCGCGGTATGCTGTCTATGTAGATTGATCTCCTTACTCAATGCAATGTCTCTTGTCGGCGAGGTGGTATTTCCTCCTCCTTCAACGCATCCCCCGGCTCGAATATCTGTCCCGGAGAAAGTCTTCGACCTGGGCATTTTCTGGCGCGGTCTCGTCTTGTTCTATGTTGTTCTTCTTGTCCAGCTCCTCCGTCTCGGCTTCAAGGGCCGGAGTCTCTGCCAGAGGTTGAGGAGGTGCGGAAGAGGTAGGAGGACCGTTGACGTGGGCTGGTGTGGATTCTCCCGCCGGAATAGACGGAGTGATTTGCGAACCAGCCACAGGACGAAGGTGAGGATGCACAGCACCAACATCGTCGTCGTCGTTGTTGTTGACTTTATCCACAGCGTCACCATCTCCTCGCCCTCCTTGAGTCGGCCTGGCGCGCGAATTATCCGGCATCAGGTCCCCATGATATGGCTTCCGGAACAGTCCTTCTTCCCACTCTCTGCGCCGGAACCTCCACGCCGCGACCGTGTCCTCGGGTCTGAGCGTCAGTCCGACTTTCCGCGCCAGCGACGCGGCGATCTCGTCCGTCTGGCCCGCGGGCTCGAAGAACAAGCGCTGCCAATGCTTACCGTTGTTGTCCGTCTTGCGCATCTCGCGCTGCCCGTTCTCGACCTTGGCTTTGGCGTCCGCGGCAGCCTGCATGTCCCCGCGCTGGAGTGCCTCTCGGACGCCGCGCCATGCGCGTCGCGACTCCCATGGGTCCTGCTCCGCTAGGGGCTCGGTGACAAGCGGCGTGGTCGTCGCGGCGGCGACGTCGAATGTCTCGATCTCGAGGTTTCGTCTGGCGTCATGGATGACGAACTGAGCGTCCCAGTGGCCTGAGACGGTGTATAGAGGAGGAGCATCATGGCCGTCGTCGTCGCGGTATACCCTGGCTTCGAAGCTGTGCTTCCTGTCCGAGCCGGAGAAGAGACCTTTGCCGCTGAAGTCGATGGTCGAAGTGTACCCGCTCGTGCTGGGGATATGGTGCGTGCCCTGCAACTCCGGGTACGGGGTGCCGGTCAAAATGCCCTTGACTTTGATGTCTGGGAGCGGGATCAGGTACGTCTCGTTGTGCCGCGCGAGATGGAGCGTGGCGTGCCCGATCTGCTGGATGTTGACGCTGCCGCTGAAGGTGATCTCCTGGCATGTGTAGCCCTCTGCCTGGGAGGAGAAGGGAATGTGAGTATCTTCTGAACGACCTCTTGACGTGGTTTCAGACTGCTGGAGCGAAGAACGAGCAAAGAAGCAAACGTACCGTGACGCCGTGTTTTTCGTTCCACACTCGACACGCAGTGACAGGCGGGTGATGACTAGGAACGACTTAGAGAGATGCTGACGCAAACAATCGGCCAGCAAGAGGCAACGAGGGCCGAGGAAGGAAGACGAGAGGGGGGAGAGAAGGAATTATCCTCAACATACCTGACCTGCTCACTCACCAGCCTTGTATCGCCGATCCTGTCTGCAGCTCCGTCCCCGTTCCCGTCGCGATCTTGGTCGTCCTCCCACCTAGCCAGAAACAGCTCGCCGAGAAAGGCATTGATGGGCTTCTTCACCCCCTGGGACGGCGACCTGCCGGCGTACTGCTGATTCCGTAGGGACGAGATGAACCATTTCAACACCAACAAGGCGCGCTCGGCGGCGTCGTCTGCGGCCGCCGGAGCCACGAAAATCGAAGGTCTTTCGGCCCAGAACGAGGGCAGTTCGACGGCTGATTTGGTGTCGAGGACGAATGGTGGGGCGGTGATGTTGGAGAGATCGCCGCGGATGGTGGCGATGGACTTTGCGAAGGATGACATGGTCAGTGAACCGGTTATGAGGTATATGATGTTGATGAATTTGCAATTTTGGGATTTCCTCCCACGCTGGACACCACTTTGGAGAGGAGAAATGGGGCGGATTGTCAGAGTATGGGCCTGACTAGTCCGGCTAGGTACCTATGTAGGTAGGTAGGTTTCGAGCTGGGGACGGTCTCTGGCTCTGTTTTCCCTGTCATCCCCAGTCGAGAGTCTCAAGGGGAAGGTCGGTGGGGGAAAGCGGAAAAGAGTGCCAGAGCCATGGAATCATAGAATCATAGATACCAAAGGGAGAGTTCACACCTACTGCAATGAGATCTTTCAACTTGGACCGGTTCTCGGACAGCGTTGGTTCCTCCATAATCCACCAAATATCAGATTGCTTTCTGGAGGGGGTGGTAGTTTGAGAACGTGTCCAGCAAGTAAGTACTGTTTGGACAGTTAGGGAAAAATAAAGTCTAAACCAATATCAGCACACCTGGACCCCATCTTCGCCTGAAGGTGAGAAGGATTAATTGTTGTTGGCGGCACAGAAAAGTATTCGGCTGTGTAGGAAAGAAGTTGTAAGGGACTAGGCTTTGGAAACCATGATATCATGATGTCGTGATTGCCACGGCAGGCAAGATCCCGGTTGATCGTCCCATCATTTCATCGACAATCATTCATCGTTTACTGGGTGGATAGATGCGCTACCGAGGGATTGCAATCCCCACCCAGATCGTGGTCAGACAATCCGTAAAAAGGGACAGAATAAGGCTGCAGCCACAGCTTCGTAGATCGATTGTGTTTCAAAGAAAAGAGGCCACCATCTCGGATTTTTGAAAGACGCCACACTCGTTTCTTTTCGGCTTGTCTGGTCGGTTGTAATGCTTCTTCTCCGCGTCCGAAAAGCTGATGTCCTTCATGGGGCCCTTGAATCATTTTGTACAGGGCATAGCATCGACAGTCAACCCATTCACACATCGTCTCCTCCACCCTTGTCTGTTGTTTGGCCGTCGCCAGGAGCTTCAGCGGTCCCAGCGTGCACCCCGTCCTGCAGGCCCATGTCTGCCCATTTCTCGAGCAATGTGCTCAACTCCGTGTCAGGATCCTCCTTGATGAGTATGTGATTGGGGTATTTGGAGCTGAAGGTGAGATGTTCCTGGCCTTCCCAGGCAATGTCCTTCACAATGACCGTCAGCTTCTCTAGGAGAGACTGGCTTACACCGCCGGGAGGTGTAGGTCCATCCCCGGCAGCAGCGACCTTGTCCTCTGCCGTTTTCAGTAACATGTGCGTGACACCTTTGACCAGTTGCCGCTGCCTCGAACATCTCACCAGGACTCGCATGATCTCTAGCAGCAGGTCCTCCTCGACCTCAGAACCGAGGTTTCCAGACAGCAGGAAACTCGCTGCGAGGATGCCAGACTGTGGCGTCAAAACAGTGAAGAAGCGCGGGCCAAAGATAGCATCTGATCTTTGGATGATCCGTGTCGTGACTCTCGTGATCGGCATACACATGTCCTTGGCCTCGCGGGTGACCTGATCTAGTTCATCTTGACCCGAGCTTAGTGTTTCTGAAGCATTCGCTGATGCCGAATCCTGTTCAGGCACTGTTTTCGGCTTCGAGGCACTCAGGGGCGGTGGTATCGTCCAATTCCACATCAGCAACCGGAAATGATGAAGACTCAATCTAACCTTATGTCAGCTCATCAACGTCAACCGGGGATCGGAAAGATGGGTAACAATACGATAAATCGATAGTGGTCGGCGCCAGAATAAAATTTTGGTCTTCCGCCTGAAACTCCCGAGGTATCGACTTATACCATTCCAATATTTTCCTGTCCATATCTCGAGCCGCATGAAGTTTTTCCACCGCATTCATTGCAGCAAAGTCGGCGAAGACCAGAGACTGCACGTCGCTCGCGAATATGTACAGCTCACACAGGTAGTGGTAGAGAGCCTGAAGTGGCAGCTGAAGAGCATCTCCAGCCTTGGGGTAAGGGGACCATGATGTGAGATGGCTGCGCCAAACTTCGGAAGCATATGGCGCTTCAAGAGATGGTTTTGGCGTCATGGGGGCGACCAGAAACCCGGTACCGAATCCCCTAATGGTCAAGTCAATCATACGCCTGGACTCAATCGATGGGGTTTGATGCTAACGTTGAATATATGTGTGCCGCCCACTCCACAATCTGGAGGGACCGCTGGAGATCCTTGGATATCGTTGGACTCTTGCCTGATTTCTGATGTCGGCGAAGAAGCTGCGGCATCATAACCTCAAGCTGTCTCAGGGACGTAAGGCTCACCCTGTCCTTACCGGTGAAAGCTGCCCTATTCCAGGTCATCAACGCTTGTCTCGCCGCAACTGCCATGCCCTGGACCTACGTCATTATCATAATAGTGAAACCTTGGATATTGGTCAGCGTTGGTTTAGCGGCCTCGAGTGTCCAAAGCCGATGAGCCTCGTTATAGAAATGCAGTCCTCAGGAGCCCACATCCCCCGGCGTAGCAAAGGCCAAAGGGTGGTCTGAGAAGAACTGCTCGCCGTCAGTTAGCAAATGTGCTTCCGCACGCATCGTGTGGACAAGCTACCCACACATGCCATTCCCAGGACTGCATTGACCAAGAAAGGTGAGCAATATGGGGACTGCAGATCTCGCGCAGCCATGGCCTCGAGAAACAACTTCTCGTCAAAGTTGTGGTAGTAGAAATGGTACCAATTGAGGTAGGCCGAGACTAAATGGGAGACCAACAGGTCGTCTTTTGTGACGGTGGTCCATGGCGCGGCAGGGACCCTGAAAGTTGGCTCGTCAGTCAGCTCACTAATTGCGAGCATGCGACGGATTCCGCCGCCATTTTCTGGAGGAGGAGTAGCAGACAGAGCCACCCGCGTCTCATTTGCCACTGGGCCCGGATGAGCGTCGAGAAACTCAAGGATCTCCTCGAGAGGGGCATCTCGCTTGATGAGGTCAAGCAGCTGCCGTGACTCTGGACTCGAAGAGTTCTTGAGACTGATCAGGATCCTGTCAAGAGCGTGACTTCGTAGCTCGAGTTCCTCAAGCCTTCTCTTGCGGACCTGCTTCCTTCTCCCATCTTGTGATGGGTCGTAAATGCACACCCTGTTGTTTGCTAGGCAATTTGAACAGGGCTGGCGTTGATCACACTAATGAAGAGGTCAGATCGATTGGCGATCAGAGGATCTCAAGACTCGTGAATTTACTTGGCCGGTGATATTGTATGGCTTACCTTTCGTTTCGAGGTTTTGCAGGCCTGACAAGCAATAGAAGCATTTTTCTTGGCTGGGCGCTGGGTGTTTGGAGCAGGGACGCTGGTAGAGCTCGCGTTCTCGCCTATCACAGCAGAGGACTGTGACGGAGCGGTGGGTGGCACTAAGTCTGGCTCATCAGGAGCCTGAGGGGGCCCGTGAGGCTGGTGAGGCATGGAAACTACAGCAATATCCTAGCTGATGATCGAGAAAAGAGAAGATCCAGGCTGGACGACCGTGGCGGGTTATCAACAATAGAAGGCCCGCCCTGGCAGTCATGCACCGTGACCCTGAAAAGCAAGAGAGTCGATCCACTGACCAGGAAACGCCAGCTGTACAGCGGTCTCCAGGTGCTATATGACCAGGAGCTCGGGAACTCCCACGGCGTCCCCGGGGTATGCAGAGTGAAAGAGGGTAGAGTTGCTGCCACTCGCAACCATGGACGGCTTGGGGCAAAGCGGAAACATAACTCCACCGGGTTGAACTGTGTGGCGTCCGCTATCAGGAGCCGAAGCGTCCAGTGAGCAGCGTTGGAGGTGTCGCCTCCGCGGCCTCCATTTGCCAACCCCGGTTGCTGATGGCGTCTAGGCCCTTCCTGGTATCGTGGGAGCTCTCTCTGCTGTCCAGCCGTTCATGGAACTACTCGTAGCCATCCATTTCTGGAGAGTTGCAGGAGGGAAGACCGTCGCTACCCAGTGTCTGACCTCTGAGAAGACGTTATAAATTCGCATCTAGAAGACCGTTTGTCTCTGCACAAGCAGGAGCTTTGGATTCGCTGTGATCCCTCGCATACGGGATATCAGTCAGAGTTTGGTTGTCGTGGAATTCGTTGCTACCAGGCCCAGGGGAGTCCTTTCGGTGTTTCTCTGGTCAGACACTGTGCGGTCCATTGCGTGGAGTATTTCGTGTGTAATCCAACGCGCCTGGGAGGACGAAGTCCCGCACTATTCTTACCTCAACCAGGTGGTCGACCGCTCTTGCATGCCAGATGCATATATATATCCCTGTACTATTGATAACGCATCAAACACTCAATCGAATCAACGCTTCAACCCACTTTCTAGCGTCAACTCCCACGCCCTCGGTGACGCCTTTTGCATTTGTGCTTCCAGGCGTCCCAACAATGCCAGACATTGCTCGTCCACTGCCGCTGACTTCTCGAGTCCGGGGTTGATCACGAAGAAGCCATTTCCCAGAAAGGTGTGAACTTCCGGCCTCTGATCTGGACCGGGACGTATCTCTGCTTGTCGAATTGCGTTCATAAGAAGATCTTCTCACGAGAATGGCCTCTTTGGTAGGATCCCCGGTTCTTTCCAATTCACCCCCGCGGACTCTGGGCTGGGCGGTGCTTTTGTCTTGACTTGCCGACCGTGTTGCATTGTCATCGCCATCATCCTCCCGTGGCTTCGGAGGCGAAACTTTCATCCACACTACCCACCATCCTCTTGCTGTTTTGATTGTCCTTTCCAACTCCTCGCTATTTGTCTGGGCATGAGTAATACCAGCGTTCTTGTCGCGAGTTGAAGTCCAAGTATTGAGTATATGAGTGTGAACATTCAGAGCCTCAACGCGGGTCCAGCCACTCTTGATGATCCTCGTCGAACCCGAAGAGCTTGTGCCGCCCTCTGCCGATGATGATCCTATAGGTATTCCAAGCGTGTACCATGAGCCCGAGACTGTGACTGGGCGCAATTGCTGTTGGGTCCGATGCAGGCCTTCGGCTGCAAGACTTCCTGGGACTGGTATGTTTGGAATTGAAGTTCGAAGCGTCGATTTCAAGGGATCAAAAAGAAGATCATATATTTCGGTGACATCGTTTGTCTCAGGCAGGGATCTCGGATTATTACCATCCTCGAGAACCGGACTTGAGTCCAGGCCTAATGACGTTCTCATTCGCTCCCTCCAGCGTTCCGGATCCGTGCTTCTCAAGAGGCTCTTTTGCAATGGGCCTAGAGTGTGATGTATAGTACGGTAAAAGCCAGGCATCGTCAAATTGGGCGTGTGCAACCGAAACAAGAAGACGAAGATGAATGGTTGGTGAACATAGACCGCAACTTGAACCTTCTCGTGAGTGACAATTGGACGGATGCCGTCGATGGATGCTGACGCACTTGTCTTCCCTTCTCTTGAATCTATATCACCCTCGTTCCTACTCGCCTGCGAAAAGGAAGAAGGACGTTCTTCGGCATCCAGACGGGCAAATCTGGAAGTCGACATTTGAACAACCAAGGTGCGAAGGAAGATCCGGTTTGACGAAGCGTGTGGTGATGATTTTGACTTGACGGGCTCGTCATCAGCTCTCTCGTCGTTGGACCCGTCCTCGAATTCTGTATTTTCCAGGTCTCCAGAGAGACCAATCAGGAATTTGCCAATGGACTCCTCGAGCCGCTGGACGAATGGTGATTCTTCCTCGTCGCTAACTTCTGGAGTCGGATCAAGTTCCTGCAGTTGATCAAGCGCAGCTTCTGTGGTCTGACCAGTGTCTGTACCCTGACCAGGAGCTTGGTCGTCCTGGACTTTGGACGCTTTGTCGGTGTTAAACCCTTTGGGATTCAGCGTCCAACTGCTGCCATAACCAAGGCTCAGGTACTTCATCATCTTCTCTGTGTTGAACATGGAGGCCTGTTCGGAAGCCATAAGGCCCGGCGGCACATCTCCTTCGCTCCTGCGGTCGTCTTTTGCGTCGAGTGCCTTCGCGTCCAATTTGGCCATTGCATCGTCCAAACTTCGCTCTACGGCGCTAACGAGGGGTGGCGGGATCCCGGGTGGTGTTGCATTGTTCTCAATCGCCCTACGGCGTAAATCCTGCGGTTTGCCTCCTGGGGACTTCACTCTGGGATGTACTGCTTGCACTTGCTGTCTCGGCTGGTCCGGTGGCCCTTGCGGTCTGCTTTTGTCTAACTTTCGCCTCTTTCTACGATGCTTTGGTCGAGACGCCGGGTTCTCACCCACTCCGTAAGCTGCATCGCCGTGCATGTAGATGGATCCCATCCACTGGGTCAACGTGACCAGGGAAGGCCTTGAGATGCCACCGATGCCAGAAAATATGACTCCATCGTCGGCCCTCGGATCCTCGCCACTGCCCAGCCAAGGTTGCGATTCTTGTGAGGGATGAGCTGCATTCATATCCCTGGATCTCTCCATACCACTGAGGTCCGAAGGAGCAACACCGTATCTCCCAACGACAAGATCGACAAGCCCCTCAGTGCGGCCCGCAAATCCCTCTAGGACTTCTCTTTCACCACTCCCCCATTCTTCTTCACCAACACCAACACCGAGCTCTCCCCCGCCGGCGAGTTTGACAGCGTCATATATGTCTGTCGCAGGATGGCCGTGCAAGAGGACATCCCACTTCCAGATGAACTGTGTCCAGTACCTATGTAAAAGGCTGCAGAACAGGTCTCGATTGTTCTCATGCTTTTTCCAGAGCTCAGACAATGAAGGTGCATGGTGAAGCAAGAATCCGCGGTATCCTTGTATGAGCTGTGCGAGTAGCAGAGGTGCCGGTGCAACCTCTCGCGACGAGTATTCGATGTCACCTTTAGACGCAGTGCCACCCAATCCTATATTCGTTCCCGATTTTGAAGGTTGTTTATTTCCCGAGGGTGCTCTTGAGACAACAGGCAATTGTGTTAGGCGAATGGCGGCGAGGATCCACCACTGAGGCTCGACCTCTTTCAGGACAATTCGAGATTTTTCCGTGTCCATAGACTCGAGAGGGACGCCGTGCGAGAAATTCCTAGGATGCCAAAAAGTCAGGACATACTGTCTCTCCAGCAGCAATTGGACTTTTGAGGCGGAAACACGAAACAAGCATGGAAGGAGGTTGCAAGGCAGTTATGGTTGCCCACATACTTTACAAAGTTCACCATACCTTGTGCTAGCCCGACCTGCCGCAATCTGTGATTCTCTCCTGCCCCCTCTTCCTTCTTCTGGTTTCCATTTGGCTGGTTCTCCTGCTCGGAGCTTGCATGGCGTTTCCCATCTGCTGCAGGTTTCCCTTTCGCGGGCTGCTCCCGCTCGACCTCGAGATCGTGCGAGTAGTAAAACAGGATCTGGTCGCGTAAGGTCTCATCAGTCGGACCAAGAGACGGATTGTATATTGCGAAGTAGGATAAGTGAGCCGGGATGACACTTCGAGCGGACATCACGAGCAGGAGGAGCGTCTCCTATGGTGTTTTGCAAAGAGCACCATGCCCGGTAGCCACACAGCACAGAAGACGAATGTCAGCTGGCCATGTTGTAAAGTCACTAATATTCTAAGCCCTTTCAACCCTTCATGCACCTGGGCCGCAGCTTCGCTGTAGGAAAGGATTCGGGTCCGGCCTATCAGCAGTGACTTTACGTCATTGACGAGGCTGCATTTTGCACGTGATATTAATCTTGTCAGCCTTGTTTCGGATTTCGAGGACGAGCACGTGCTACATCAACGAGATGATTTATTGCTGGATATGACATTGTAAATGAAACCTTGCGTTGGCATGAGGACGAAAATCCAGCAGTGATTGTTCTCCAAGAGCAGATACGACAAATAATTGTCACGTTTAGCTGCTAGAAGGGCCAGATTTGCTATCGCCAATTCCCAAAACCAAGTTTACCAGCTCAGGAAGTTTCAAGAGGCACCAGAGGGTTCCAAAATCCCAAGATAACGTCTGAAGTTGAAGTTCAAGTTCACCATCCCAGACCTCAATACCTGTCCAACGGCTCTTTCTCGGTACTCAAAAGAGATTGCAAATGTATGACTGGACATTATCTGATTGTATTACTCGAAAATCTCCAGTACAATTGGAAGGGGCAATAGAAGTGCTAGATTAGACTGTGGAGAGCCCGAAGCCTGAGGACGAAACGCCGTGAATGGATTTGCCTATCTCGATGATGACTCGACATGTCTCGACTGTGGAAACGCCGTGATTGCTGCCAGCACCATCCGAACTTCATCCGTCCCTGGCCTCCGTGCAATTCTTTGTATTGCCTCAATCATCAACCCGTCCATCCTTCGCTCAGTAAGGAAACAAAACTAATGTATCAGCGCCCGAAGAGCAGCACACTCAAGCCGCCAACCCAGATCCTTGGTGAAGCCGGAGCAAGAAATTGCAGTCCTTGAATTGATATCTGAGGATCCCTCTGGCGATATCCTGGTATAATGTCGGGGGATTTGCGCAGGCCATATGATTCACAACAAGAAAGATGGGTATGCTTGATCTACAAGATCAAGCATTTCTTGCTCTTTCCGCTCTTGCGAGTCAACAGGGCGGCACGGGTGGCAGACTCAAAGACTTCACGGACACCCTGGTTGGTCTTGGCCGAGCATTCGAGGTATTTGTAGGCACCGATCTTCTTGCGCACCTCCTCGCCCTAGAATCAATCCAAGTTAGCCCTCACTGCCACTGGCGATGGATTAAGCTCGGATGGTGAGAACGTACCTGTTCTGGAGTAACAGGCTTCTGGGATGTCTTGGCCAGCTCTTCAATGGTCTTAGGGTCGTGTCGCAGATCGCACTTGCACCCAACAAGGATGATAGGAAGGCCTTGGCAGAAGTGAAGGACCTCGGAAATCCACTATTGGTCATCTTGTCAGTTTCAGTTGCAATGGAATGTACCGAACGTGAGATCATACCTTTTCCTGAACGTTATCAAGCGAGTCGGGAGAATCGATGGCAAAACAGATGAGGATGACATGAGAGTCTGGGTAGGATAGAGGTCGAAGACGGTCGTAATCTTCTTGGCCAGCCGTATCCCACAGGGCTAATTCGACGTGTTTTCCATCGACCTCGACATCGGCAACATAGTTTTCAAAGACCGTGGGGACGTAGACCTGTTGTTTTCACGTGTCAGTTGTGTCTGCACCAATCCAGCTCCTCATATGTGTGTCTCGATAGGGAGGTGTTGATAGGTATCACATAAGTTGGGCGAAGGGATCGGATTGGGTCAAGTTGGAGTGCGCACCTCAGGGAATGTGCCCTTGGAAAACACGCTGTTAGAAGAAGCAGTCAGCGGTCCAATTGATATGAGTAGATCCATAGATGATGACCATACATCAACAAACAAGTTTTCCCACAGGCACCATCACCGACGATGACGAGCTTGCGACGGATCTCAGCCATGACGGCTGCTGCGGACAGTGTCTGATAAGACGACTAAAGGATAGCCGAAATGAGGGTGTCAAGGAAAGGCCGGCGGTTCAGCAGTCGTTTCCAGGGATGATGGATAAGTTTGCTGGCGCAAGGATGAGGAAAAGAGGGAAGTGTAGGACGGAGATGGATGTTAAAGAAAGAGGTTGAGAGATGATTGTCAGGGAAGCACCTTTTCGGGGTGAGTTTAGTGTGGATGTGGCTAAGACACTGGCGCGGACCTCCAGGCACTGACTGCACTGCGCTGCGCTGCGCTGCACGGTACTGCCACTGATGGATTGGATAGGTTAGGTAGGTGTTGTGGGTGAGCTTTGACCGTCCCTCCTAGCCAACGGAGTCTGCGAGAGATGATTGGTGATGATGGTTTGTCGATGGGAGATTGTAGGACAAGAAGGACATCGACAGAAACGGGAGAGGAATGGGCTTTGTCTCAGGGGAGCAGTTCGCGTTGAAGAAAGGTGGAAAGGTGGACGAATGCACAACTTTGTTGTTACAGGGTGTACGCACTCCTGGCGGGCACAGAGCCACCTTGGGGAAGCGTAGGGGGCCTATTGTGAATCGCATAAACAAGCGACACCTAAGCATCACGGCCGCTCAGCAACCAGCAGCCTAGCAGCCTAGCAGCCCAGCAGCCTAGCAGCCCAACAGCCCAACAGCCTCATCAGCCTGAAGCGCGCCCGCGAACTCGGCCCATGGCCCCCCAGCCGCCCCTTAGATTGTTGGGGCTTCTTTATCCGCGCTGGTGAGGACCAGCCAACTCTCTTGAATCACTTTTTCGGGTGCCTGTCCTTATCCAGTGACCGACTGCAGTATGGACTAATTAATCAAACGTCTTCCTTGCACCGCTGGAATAATAGTCAACGACCTTCTTCTGCTTTGCCCATTCAACATGTCAGTGTTGACCATCTTCTATCCCCTACACCGCAAATTCCAATACGCAGCTATTCAATCCCACGTAACCTCCTAAATGCGTGGATACGTATTCGAATCCCGGCCTCCCTGCACAATCAGGCGGTCAGGCGGTACAGAGACGATAACAATGCCTCGCCTGTCGCTGCATCTCCCTTTCCTCCGCCGTCGCACACCTGCGCCAAATATCGATCGCCCGCAAATGCCGGATGCTGAGTGCGGGTAGCACTTGGGCCCGAGGGCCATCCCCACGCCCATGCATCGCCATGCAGGGACTGGCCCCGTGGGTAGGAGTGCTGCCTACACATTAGTCCAAAATTCAACCAAGCCGCCTTGTCATGGACGCTTTGTGCGTTTCTCTTTTCTTTGCTCCAATGCAAGCATCGTCAAGAAGCCCGTGGTTTAGCGAATTGCAGATCCCAGCCTGCTGCCACCTCGGCGGTACCTGGCCTATGTCCCGTTTGCAGACTATTGCTCATCAGCATGGGTAAAACTCAAGAGAACCGTGACCGACGGTCCTCGCACGCGCTTCGAGAGAGACAAGGCAATGCCAGCCACGTGTCAGAAGTCCTTCGAATGCTTGTGTGGCTGAAGACTGAAGTCTCCATCATGCATTTCTCACATGTGGCCTGCAAGGGTTGAACTTTTGTTCAATCCCTGCCGTGTTCGCCAGGCTCCTCAAGTCGCAGTGGCCCTTGGCTTCAGCTGGCCAGGGGTTCAGCTGACCTCTAGGAATGCTGATACTGGCCAAGACCCGGAATTTGGTCGGTTTGCGACCTCGCCCGTATTACGCCTTTACTGGACCTCCTGCGAACCAGAGTTCACGAGGCTTTCTCTGATATGTAGGTATTGGATGAAAACCCGAGGACGTCGGCCTTTTCACAGCACACTTGAACTCGATACGTCCCTGGAGGCTGGAGCTTTCATTTTTCTTGCATATGCAAAGTCCAGAATCTCGGCCATTACTTCCGGGGGCCCGTCGGCGAACTTGTTCCTTTGATGGACTCCACATATATCTAAAGATCCCGGTTTCTCTGCGAACGGCTGCGCCCCTGTACATTGTGGAATACATGTTTCTGCTGGAAACCCTGCCTTTCGCCACCCGCGGACACTCGTTGCCACGAATGAACATATTGGTCGGATTCGATCCCTGAGCAGACGCGCTTTCGACACAGCTCTCATGCATAAAATGCTCTTACAGCGTCCTCGATGAACACCACCGTCTCCCCAGGCTTACTCAGCATGGGCGAATGACCAGCCTCGCATTCCCTTGTCGTGATGTCTGCACCGAGTGCTCTACATTTCTGCACCATGTCCTCTTGCAGCTCTTTCTTGATAGCGTTATCCGTGGAGCATATCAGATACCAAACGGGGACGTCTCGCCAGCCAGCATAGACAGAGTCACGTGCACCAAACATTGCAGCCGAGAACTTGATGAGCTTGGAGCTCCATTTTGCAGCGTCTTCGCGAGGCATGTCGTTGTAGAAGAACTTCACAGCCACCTCCTCGTCCTGCACCTCGCACCAGCCTTCGTCATCGATCTTGTGTTTTATGCGAGCTCTCATTATCTCCGGATGCCTGCGCGCAAAGTCCTCCCCAATGTTGACCAGAGAAGTTTCGTGTTCGCTTGGTGTCCACGCGGTGATCTGGATCAACCCCGTTACGTGTCCCGACTTCTCACTTTTGCGTTTTGAGGGGTCTTTTCTCGTGAAGCCCCTGACGGCACTGCAACCTGCCATGCCGCCCATAGAGTGGTTGACCAAGACTACGTCGTTGCCCAGCCCGGTTTCGTCAGCAACGACCTCTTGCAGAGCAGCCACCACAGGTGTCATTGTTTGGATGGGCTTCTCTCCACCGTTGTAGATGAGTGCGGGAGCTAGGCATTTATAACCCTTGTTTTGGAGGTCGTTCATGACCGTGTCCCAATACTCTGAAGTGTGCCAGGCGCCATGGCAAAAGATCAAGGTAGGAAGGGAAGACATCATGTCTCACTAACAGATTGATCTAGGTTGGATATCTGAGGCCTTTCTGGGAACAAAGTGGGATGAACGCCTGCCCTGTTGCAACTGTGCGCACTATCCACCCTTCATCCAGAAAGTGAGGACTGACCTTGCCCTTGTATAAGTAGACGAGGGGGTGGTAATATTAACCATTCAGTTCTCCACCTTCACACTCTTCTGTCTCGCGTGTTACATGGTCGTGGGGTTTCTCCTGATGGAAATCGCCCAAGACAGCAAGGTGGCATTGACCATCGGATTCTGTCCGCGTGTGGAGATAACAGATCAGTACTCCATGTCAGCATCCGACAAATCACATCGACTAGCGTCTCAATCCAGGCTACAGTGTTGACGGTACGAATGAGGAGAGTCCTGAGGGTAACCGAAGATGTCGTTCTTACGGACATTGGGATCCTGACGGCAAATACACCCAAGTGCCGCAACCCCACTTGCTTACCTACCAGGTAGGTACTCGTCCATCCTTCCCGTACGTATCATGCCGGCCAGAAAGGTGCTTACCAGTTCCGAGCTTGGGGATATCACTTCGAGGAGAAGGTGCCTGAAGGCCACGGAGGCTTATCACCGCGGATTCTTAATGAGTCCACACAATCAGTCCCCGCTGCAGTGACAAACGCAGACAGGGGGAGTTTCGTGCAGCCACACTGCGCCACATGCGCCACCCTTGGCAGCTTCGTTCAGAGCTTTAATCCCCTCGATCCAGTTTGTACCAGCTTCGGTCTCTGAGGAAGCGGCGGGCAGGGGTACAAGATGCCTTTGCAGTTCTCGATGGCGGCGCCTGAGACGAAGCTCGGCTAGATCAGCAATGTTGGAGACTCCTGTTTGAGGTCGAGCTTTGCAGCAGGGCATCTGCCAAGTCGAGACACAGCGCCAGAAAATCAACTAGATATTGCCGGAAGTCTCCTCCTTTTGCAATGGCCGGGATCTTCAGAAGGCAGGGCACTGTCTCGAGCGTCCGCTTGGGCATAATCAGGTCATCTGCTTTTTCGGCAATCTATCTTATACATATGGATTAGATATCTCCCTCCCATTTACCACTGGAATAAGTCAGCGAGCATGACGCCGGCACTGTTTTCTCAGCCCGAATCTGGACCCTTGCTTTCCATGCTGAAGCCGATCAGCGAAGAGTGGGTTACCGTTCATGCCAACAGATGAGGTAGAACATGGTCGCTATGCTCAAATCCGATGTTAGGGACGGCATTTCTCCCTAGGTACAGAGAACTTGCACAGTGTCGTGCGTTCTGAGGCCTGTCTTGCGCAGTATTATCCTCGCGAGAAATTTTGAGAAAGTCACGACAACCCACAAGGCCAGGGATTTGAGTGATACAGGGCAACCGACACGACCCCAGACGGGGTATAGGTAGGCAGGTAATGACGACTTGGCATTGGCTTCAGCCTACTACTCGACAGCGAGCACGGTACTCCATGCCCACGTGCAGGTTCGCTGTAATTCCAAGGCAGAAAATGCCTCACACTGCAGTGTGCCTTTTCTGTCTCCTTCCCACGAGAGACACGCATGACAGACTTTTCCGTTGGAATCGTGAACCCCATCATCTTCTGGACTTTCCAAGGCACTGATGGTGAAACGGCAGAAAGGGGATATTGGATGCGGCAAGAGTTCAGACCGAGGAGGTCAACGAGGAGCTGAAAGAAGAAGCTCACTCGTATTATTCTTGGAAAGTCTCGCTTTGCTCTTGGGTACCCGACAGTCTCTTTGCCGCCAACCCCCAGCTTTTCGATTCTCCACAATGGTCCATGCGCCGCCTCGACCGTGGTCTTGCTCAAAAGTGCATCCACAATCCTCCCATTGTGTGTGGAGATGCGCGAGGAAGCTGACAAGCCTGAGAACTCAATGGCTCGTATCGCAAGGAGCATAGCCACGCCATATACACTAGAATTTGTTGAGAGCTTGACATTGCCGAATATTGGTCTTTCGCAAGCTAAGTCTGGGTAGTTCCGACTGCCGAATTCGTTCTGAATATGAGCATGTGCAAGAGTCTGTCAGCCAGACGGAACAAAAGCATCTGTGGCATCTAGGCAACTTCTGGCAATGTCCCCCAGGAATGCTTTTCATGCGTCAGAATGTCTCTATTGCACTCCGCCCTCCCACCACATCATTCCAGTCTTTGACTTGCCATTTCTCGCTTCAGTTGAGGCATTTTGTGGTTGTGCTTGTATTACCCAGATCCAACTCGGAATTCTCCATACTTCCCCTGGTCGGTAGTTTAGGCTGCGTGGCACATGCGCTTCTGCTTGCTTTATCGTTCCTGGGTGGGTTGACCATTCCATTGGCCTTGTTGACCTCCCAAAGTCGCGCAGCTACCGTGCCCATCTGGACAAGTTGCCCAGAGAGGCGGTAGAGGGCCTGCACATGCTCCAAGCCATAGTGCCAGCACATATATCAAGGTAGATCAGAGCAGGCCTTTCCCTTCCAGACTTATCGACTTCATCCCCCCCTGCTCCTTTCATCTTCCCCTCGCGCCGGGCATTTTCCCGCGACGGAGCCTTGTCCCTGCATTTCGTCGATATGGCGACAGACATTGCTGGTGGCAGCATTGAAAAAGCCACTGTGGTCATGGAAGCGTCCAACCACAACGATGAAGACCTTAACCTTCCCCTTGCAGCAAAGCGCCGTATCAGATATATCGACGATGACGAAGAGAATGGTGGTCCATCTGCCGCCACCGATATTGGCCATCCGTTAAAGAGGAGGGGCTCTACCTACTCTGTGCATTCACTCTCCAGCGTCCGCAGTGGACGACGGATCGTTGATCCATCCGTCATCCTCCCAGTTCAGTACCGCACGCTCAGCTACGATATCACCCACGTCAAGGCAATCGAAAGTGCAAAGAACGCCAGCGAGAAAGCCGCAATTGGTGAGTCACGGCTGGCGCTCCCTGAATATATGGAAATATGCTGACCGCCCCTTTCAGATGTTGGAGGTCTTGAGTGGCATCTACTCACCCCTCAAGAAATCTGCGTCCGGTTGAATACTTCAACAGATACCGGGCTCTCACTTTCCGCCGTGAAAGAGAAGATTGCAGAGCATGGCCGCAATGTGCCCTCCCCTCCACCCTCGAGGTTGGCCCAGAAGCTTTTCGGTTACTTCTTCGGAGGGTTTGGCTCTATTTTGCTGGGTGGCAGCGTCCTCGTCTTTGTCTCTTGGAAGCCTTTGGGCGAACCGCCTGCTGTGGCCAATCTTGCACTAGGAATCGTGCTGGCGGCCGTTTTCTTCATCCAGGCTGCTTTCAATGCCTGGCAGGACTTTTCGTCGTCCAGGGTCATGAAAAGTATCACTGGCATGCTGCCTGAAGCGTGCTGTGTTCTGCGCGATGGAAGCAAGCACACAATTCAAGCACCAGACGTTGTACCCGGTGACATCCTCTACTTCAAAGCGGGCGATAAGCTGCCAGCCGACATTCGTTTCATCGATGTCTCGACGGATGCCAAGTTCGACAGGAGCATCTTGACCGGAGAATCGCTTCCGTTGGCTGCTGTCAATGAGTCTCACGAGCCCAACTATCTCGAGACAAGATGTATCGGCATGCAAGGCACTCACTGTACCTCCGGCAGTGGTGTCGGCATTGTGGTGTCTACTGGCGACAACACGGTCTTTGGCCACATTGCTAAACTGACCAGCCAGCCTTCAACTGGCCACTCAAATCTACAGAAAGAAGTGCTGCGCTTCGTCTTCATCATTGTTGGCCTGATGGTCTTTATGAACATCATCGTCATTGCGGTCTGGGCAGGGTACATACGACAAGCACACCACAACTATATCAATGTGCCAACTCTCATTGTTGACATCGTCAGTGTCGCCATTGCGTTCGTCCCTGAGGGCTTACCCATTGCTCTAACAGCGTCGCTCACGATCACGGCCAAAATCATGAAGAAGAACAACATTCTCTGCAAGTCGCTGAAGACAGTTGAGACTCTGGGCTCTGTCTCCGTCCTCTTATCCGATAAAACCGGAACGTTAACAAAAAACCAAATGGTGGTGACCGATTGTCTCGTTGGATTTAGCACCATGACCGCGGAAGAAGCATCTCAGGAGATGATAACGGAGGATAACCACAGCACGTCGAAGAAAGCCGCACTTCAACAACTGCGCGTGCTGTCAGCGGTATGCAATGCTGGAGAGTTTGATCCAACCACGATTCATCTCCCCCTGGCCCAAAGAAAAATCATCGCGGATGCAACCGATCAAGCTATTCTGCGACTCTCGGAAAGTCTTGGTCCTGTCACGCAGTCCCGCGACATGTGGTGCAAGAGATTCGACCTGGCCTTCAACTCCAAGAATAAATTTGCATTGAGGGTCGTTTCTCCCGAGAACGCGGAGGCGGTCGCAGCGACAATGAGTGTCTCTGAGGTGAAGTCTTTTCGCGCTGAGAACGATCTGCTGTTGATGATCAAAGGTGCCCCTGACATTCTTCTTCCCAGATGCTCGAGATATGTCGGAGAAGATGGTGGCGTCTACCCTGTGGATGACGACGTCCGATCATCCATGGAAGCGATCAAAGATGCTTGGTCCAGTCAGGGCAAACGGGTCCTCCTCCTAGCCCGCAAATCTCTTCCCGCAAGTATGTTGCAATCGGCTCCCAATGACAATACATTCGAGGCTGAGGCCCTACGACACGCCGGAGATGGACTCACTCTGATATCCATGGTTGGGATTGTTGACCCGCCCAGGGATGAAGTGCCGAGTGTTATCCAGACCCTTCGTCGTGCAGGCATTCGCACAATGATGGTCACTGGCGACTTCAAGCTGACGGCCCAAGCCATCGCTCGGTCATGCGGTATCATCACCGTGCCCGACAGTGAAATCCATTCGGTTGAAAACCTCCCTCGCCTTCCCCCCACAGACGTCGTGGAGGAGAAGCGCCAGAAAAAGTCGAATCGGCTGCCCTCGGAAAACAAGGCGATTGTGTTGTCGGGTCCCGACCTGTTGACACTCCTACCACACCAATGGACCACACTTACGACTCAGTACAGCGAGATTGTCTTTTCACGCACGACACCGGATCAAAAGTTGCGCATCGTCAGGGAATTCCAGTCCCAAGCTTATGTTGTGGCCATGACTGGCGACGGTGTCAACGACGCACCCAGTCTCAAACAAGCAGATATCGGTATTTCGCCGGCTTCTGGGTCTGATATTGCGATCGAAGCATCCGATATGGTCCTCCTGGGCTCGTTCTCTGCCATTCCGGAGGCCGTCATGTATGGGCGCGTGGTTTTCGACAACCTCAAGAAGACCATAGCATATCTTCTGCCTGCTGGTTCATTTTCGGAGTTCTGGCCTGTGATGACGAGCGTCATCTTCGGTCTCCCTCAAGTCCTTTCCAGCTTTCTCATGATAGTCATCTGCTGTTTTACCGACTGTGTCGCCGCTACCATGCTAGCGTACGAGAAGCCGGAAGCCAATGTCATGCTGCGGCCTCCGCGGGACATCCACAAAGATCGTCTCGTAGATTGGCGGCTATTGCTTCAAGCATACGGCTTGGTCGGTATACTGGAGTCGGTCTGCTCGTTCGCAATGAGCTTTTGGTACCTACAACGCCATGGCCTTTCCTTTGGTACGCTGTGGTTCTCCTTCGGCAATATTCCCACTCCAGCAGGCCAGACCGAGGACGACGTGGCGTATCATTTGACCGTGGCGAGCTCCATCTACTTTGTCACACTCGTGGTGATGCAGTGGTTCAATGTCATGGCCCTGCGAACCCGCCACCTTTCCATCTTCTCGCATCCACCCATTTTCAATCCCAAGACTCAGAACTTGCTGCTTCTCCCAGCCATTCTCTTTTCGCTCGCCATCGCACTGGTATTCACTCTTGTGCCTGGCATAGACTATCTTGGCTGCGAGAAAGTCCCGGTCGAACACTGGTTTATTCCCATGACGTTCGGCATTGGACTCTTGAGTTTGGATGAGTTGAGGAAAATGGTCGTGAGAAAATATCCAAAAGGTATCCTAGCGAATATAGCATGGTGAGTATCTGCTTTTGAGGAGGGCCTGCGGAGACCCTTATGGTGTCACGTATAGAGACATATTCAGATACCGGTCAGTAGTCGTTGTACAGTCCGTTTCCATTGCAAGGGACATTTGAGGAAATAGAACCAAACTTTTGCTTCCGTGAGTCCCAACGAAGTGTCGCCCCTCCCATATAGAACGATGTAGCCTAACAGTCGAGGAACCGACGAGTCGGCATCTGAACTCCTGTCCAATGCAGGTGGATTCTGCTGACAATGTGAACAGACAATACTCGGTACTCTGTGAGAAAACAGAGGCTGCACGATAGGGATTGAATGCTGCGCCGGACCGCTTCAGTGTCCCACATTTCATCTCTTGCTTCTTTTTGAGCCTTTTGCCTCCCGCACTTGCTAAACGCCGGGAAAGTTATCCTAAGTTGTGGCAGCTGTCTTCGAGGACACTTATCCGGAGCTCAACTGCTGCTTTGTCCCTATAAATGTCCAAAATCTGCGACACATGTGGAGATTCCATTCGTCAGGAACAGACGTTCTACCACTGCCCAGCCTGCCGCAATGGCGACTTCGACCTCTGTGAGAGATGCCATTCGGAGGATAAGCGATGCGATGATGAAGAACACGGCCTTCTCCACTACAGGGTACGCGGCGACGCCGTTGTTGACGCCGATACTGGCAATTTGATCCGTTACATCGCCTGGGGTAACTGCCCTGGTTGCACCTGGGAGAAGAACGGGAAGCCCTCGGACGATGACAGTCCTTTCCATTACGAGCCATTCCCGGCGGACTCATATATCAGAGTCATCGATCTTTTCCCAGGTCCGGATGATCAGCCTCTGCGGTACTCTCTACACTACACTCGCCTAGACTCACTCTCAAGGGCTCAGTATACTGCCAGTGGGTCCCGACCTGCCTCCTTAAGTTTACCGCCCATTCAACCCTAGTACAAGCTTCTTTGGGGCTGATATGAGATCTTTAATCAAGTCAGCTACGTCTGTGGCGATGTGACTATCAAGGTACCGTCCTATTGCAATGGCAAGAGACTCGATATCTACGCAACACTCGACAAGGCTCTGCGCAAATGGAGGCGCATCGAAAAGCAGAATCAGCTTCGGATATGGGCGGATGCTATTTCTATCCAACAAGATGACAATAAAGAGAAGTCTGCCCAGGTAGGTACAAATAACCTGCACGAGCTGATCCAGGGTGAGATCGCGCGTTACTCTGCGCCGGATGTGCGAGGCCGGGAGTTGACGAGGTAACTGGCGGTCATCAGTATTCCCCCTATCTGACAGTGAAACAGGTTGCTAAAATGCACGAAATCTACCGGCACGCCAATCAGGTGTTTGTAGATTTGGGTGATCCACCAGATGGATTTGAAGCCGCCATGGAGTTGATCCTGGGTGCATCCAAGAGCTTCCGAGAGGCGAACAAGGCACAAACGCGGCCCGACAATGTTGAGTCCGGTCCGATTCATTCACAACGGCTCCCAAGGACTGAAGTCACTGTGGAACAGGCTCTCGCATTGACTCGGTTCTCCGAACTGGCGTGGTTCAGGCGCCTGTGGGTGATTCAAGAAGTCTGCCTGTGGGATGTATATGGAGCTTTCCCTCCGGTATTTCTCTGCGGTGGCCACCGAATCGAATGGATTGATCTAATCAATTCATCAACGCGGTTCGGATTGGCTCCGCTGCAAATCATCGATGATCCTGAAGTCATGACCCCAGAACTCAGGGGCGCCTATATCGAGGGCACTGGTTGGAGCCCTGTTGCAGTTGCGATCTTCCTGGAGTACTACAAAATCCAATCAAAACAAGGCCCTGCTCAAAATTTACATTGGTTTCTTCAACGATCGTGGAAACAGGAGTCAACAAATCCTGCTGACAAAGTCTATGGACTCCTCGGTCTCGTCAAAGATCAGTACACTATCATTCACGCGAGCGTCGCCACTCCCGACACGCAACAGCATGGACATTTGCAGAAGCTTGATGGTAAAAGAGAAATTCGAGTCGACTACGACCTGCAGTTGCCCGAGATCTACGAGGCGGTAGCGCGACTTACCTTAGCAGAAGAAAACTCCCTCGACATGCTCGCTGACGCAGGTTGCGGCAAGTCAAGGAGACAACCTCACTTACCCTCGTGGGTACCTGACTGGAGCAGCTACCCCAAAGAGCCAGCATTGATATTATCGTTCGGACTGGCATCGACGGCGAACTATCGCGCTTCGCTGGATACGACACCTGTACTCGCCAAAGAATTTGCTTCTGGACTGCTCGAGGTTGAGGCATATTTCGCGGACAGAGTGCTCATGGAAGCTGCCCGATGCGGTGGAGAGACCGACGTGATTGCAGTATCTGGGAAGGCCGCTTTGCAGGAACATCGCATCATCGGCGTAAAGCAATATCTCTTGAGTCTGTGGTGGTGTTTTGGGGTCAAGTTCAACTCCTACCCAACGGGACACCGTCCATTTGATGTCTTTTGGCGCACGCTGATCGCAAACAGAGTCATACTAGGCAATCAGTTAGGTGTACCACCAGCGGAATTTGCCGAAAGCTTCCTCATGGCGTATCCTGAGATTCTCGAGGTTGAAATCAGGGACGAAAAGCCTGCGTGCATCTGTCCTGCATGGGCCATTGCCGATAATCAAAAGCAAGTCAGTTCGGGCAAATCAGGGGATTGCGACAACGCTGGTCTCGGAGGCGAAACGCCTCTTCCCCTACGGGATCGATATCCCCGTCCAGGCGAATTCTTTGGGAACGAGCAACCCGCTTACGGGGAGCACTACAATGCGGCTCTTCGGCGATCAACAATTGGCCGACGATTTTTCAGGACAAGGAAAGGGTACATGGGTATAGGGCCAAAGAATCTCACCAGAGGCGACCATATTGTCATTTTGAAAGGAGGTTCGTTACCGTTTGTGCTGAGGCAAGCGGATGCTGGTGACGTTGATGGCAAACCGGTCTTCACCCTACTTGGGGAAGCGTACGTGCACGGTCTCTCTGAAGGAGAGATATTACACGGTTCCAAGGATCCTGACAATGACCCCAACTGGACGAGGATCATACTGAGTTGAGCTGTTTCGCGCTGGCCCTCCACGATGCCATCTCATCCTCAGCCTTGTCAGTCTCTCTGCGGGTCACGTGGATATCAATCCGCTTCCCCTTTATTTGCCGGATCGGGTCTAGCGCTGCCTCACAGGGACACAATCTGAGACGCGAAACTCAACCTCCTCCAGTCTCAGACCAACATCTGCCGCAACTAGAGTCTCAAAACAGGCCCCGCATCTCGACGTTGCCAGGCCGGCGCCTCACCTTTGGCTCTCTGCCCAACAGACCTTCGATCCTTTGGAGCCTCATCTGCGGCACCAGTTGTCTGGGCTCCCCGCGCCCGATCGACGCCAAATCTTTGCGCTTGACCCAATTCATTGCCGCCATCTGCCGCCATGTGCTACAGGAGTTGCTGCACGGCCCAGGAAATGTCACGATCGGCATCTCCTGAGAGGCGGAGATCATGCTATGCTATGGTCAAGCCCGCATGCAATTTTCCATATCGTCACGTCATGAGAGTTTGAACATGCCTGATCTGGCACCCCTTCGACAACGATCCTGATCTGATCTACCCGCCGAGCATGGGTATCTGTGGCTCTTTTTGCAAGGGAGCAAGGTCGCGGATGCCCTGTCGTCCGGGCATTCGTATCGAGTTTTGACTCCATCCTTTCCCTTGTTTTTTTTGGGTTTGCCTTGTCTTCGCCAATCTCTCGTTTACTCTTCTTTCATCTCCAGCTCCCCCCCAGGCGGGTAAGCTTCTGTCTTTCCTTTTATACTCTCGTTAACATATACAAAGGTGGACTGACCCAGATCCGTTCCTTCTTTCCTGCCTGTGGGTTTACAACTCTCGCTCCCCTTTCGAAGGCGCTGGCGCTGAGCGCTGGACGCTACCAGATACCCTTTCTTCCATTCTTTCTATCTGCGTGATCCCGCTTTATTCAGTCATTCAGTCATTCATTCAGGGGATTTTCGGTATCTCCGTGTTGGTGGTGCAGGACGCTGCTTGTTCGACTCTCGACAGCAGGCTTCTCCGATCGTCCCCAAAGTCTTCGAGTCGGCCAGACCTATATCGGCGCTTTGATAGCAACAACAAAGGCGGGGAGCGCTGCAAAGATGCAGACGCGAGCAGTTCAAGTCATCTTGCTCATATGCTCGTTGATCTTGGCCATCATTATTCTCATTGCCTCGTCCAAGTATGCGGCATGGTCACATGAAATGGTGCCGGGGCCAGGCAAATGGCTGTAAGTTTGCTCTGCAGGTGGTACATCCACCGTATTCACATCTGCCCAGCGACGTCTTTTCAAAAATTGTCCTCGCTTCTCCACCAGAGCGGCCGGGAAAGATACTGGGATAGTTTAATGACTGACCCGATATCCTCATCTAGACCCCTCGTATTCTACGTCGGAACCATCCCCTTCTTCTCCCTCCTCTACACGGTCTCTCACCTCGCGGCGCTGCAATTCAACGGCCTCCCCTCGCCACCGTACCTCTACGGGCGCGCTTCTTCCAGCGGTGCTGCGCCGCAGCAGCAGGCATATGACGCGGGATACACAGTGAGATCGACATTCTTGACCCTGTGCGTCTCCGTCGCACACACGCTGATGTGGTTCTCCCAATCCATTCTGTGCACGAGCTGCGAACTGGCGCCCATCCTCGCCGGCCACCAGGGCCAAGTGCCCCAGTGGTGTCCGCAGTCACGGTTCCACGACACGGGCAATCCAAACCTGGCCAACATGCTGGGCACGCTCGCGCCGGTCAAGGATTTCTTGCAGTGGACCATGTTCGCGCTGGCGGCGGCGCTGATTGAGTGCGCGCGCCGCGAGTGGATGCGGGCCGAGCACGTGCGCGCCCAGCAGACGAGGCTGATGGGCGCCGGGGTGGACTTTGGCGGCTACGGCGACGGCGGCGGCGGCGGCGACTTTGTCAAAAAGACGACACCCATGGCCGCCGCCGCCGCCGCCGGCGGTGTCGTCGAACTCGGCAACATCAACATCTCCGGGCCGAGACTCGTTTTTCGCGCCGAGGAAGCCGCGAGGCGGGAACAGGACGAGGCGAAGAAAAGAAGGCAGCAGGGCGCCAATGGTGGTGGTAGGGGCGACAACAACAACGGCGCACCACTCCCTCCGGCGCCAGTGCTCCCACCAACCGGGAAGAAAAAGGACAATTACTACGGCAACGGGATGGGGTTGAAGAGGAGTGGGACCACGACGCTGAATCACATGTATGAGTCGAGGGTATGACCCCACTCCCTGCGCGGCGAAGCGATGCGATGCGCAGCGAAGCGAAGCCAGAGCACTGAGAATATTCAACCGCGCCCCCACTCCGGGCCGATACACACTCTAGCACTCTGGGAATGGAATGGAATGGATTGTGGGCAAGGGATAAGGGGAAGTGGAACTTTGGTAGAGAGGCAGAGGCAGAGGCAGAGGAGAGAAGAGAGGGACGTTGTCTAGGTACGTGTGTAGAGAAAGGACTGTGCCTTGGACATGTATGGCGAGGAAAAAGAGAGAGAGAGAGAGAGAGAGAGTGTGTGTGTGTGTGTACGAGTACAAAGGACATGAAGCAGGGTAAATGGGTCTTGAGAGAACTCGGTACGGTACGGAGTACGGTATCTAGCGTCCAGTGTTGGCGACAGGGCACATGGATTGTCTAGCTGTCTAGCTGTCTGTCTGTCTGTCTGTCTGTGCTGGTACATGATACATGATATTATCTCACTTCTTTCTCCCCTCTCTTGTGCACTTTCTTTAGCACTCTCCTCCTTCTTAGTCCTCTCCTGGCGAGAATATGGCAAAAACAAGAGACGCGAGGACACAAAAAGAGTCGGGACAGACAGACTAAACAAATCCCAACTTCGCGCGCTGTGGTCCTGGTTTTCCCCCGAAACCCGAGCTCTGGGTCGTTGATCTATCTCCCTTTCAATCCAGGCAATCCGCAGAGACACAGTCGAATGGAGGTGGACGCGAGCTGTTGGATACTCTTGCAATTGCCATTTGCTGTCGAATCAGCGGCGTCGGATCTTCCCCTTCATAGCACATCCACTGCGAGCTGGTCTCTCTGGCTCTGGGCTTCGTGCTGCCGCTCTTTTTCCACTCTCCGCCCCTTCGAGGGCGTGTGGATAAACTAGTATTATAATACAAAGATCGTGTTTCGTCTCCAAACAAGCCCTTCTGACAGACAGATAAGTGGTCGAAATGTGCTAAAGAAAACACCCACTACCAGTGTGGTCGACGTTCATGCTTGTGTCTCTGATGGTTGGGGGTTGGTTCTGATCGTGAGCTTAGGAACTGTGGTCCAAAACATTAGCAGGCTCGTCAACGATCATGAACAAGGGTGGGTAGTGTCTTACTGCTCATCCCATATCCCTCAGTCTTCCCTTCTGGATCTCGATTGTTAATCTCGACCTTGATCGCGACATTCAAGCCGCCCCTCAGCGGTGGGCCTACGGCCTCTGAACTGATCCCGTCTGCGGCTAGATGTGTTGTTCCCGCCCCCTCTTCACCAAGGTGTAGATATCCATGTCCGTCATGTGCACCCTTGCCCGTATGAGGACGAGACTTGCCCGTCTTACCCGTCGAATTCACTGATGCAGGTGTAGATTGCGGGTTGGCAGAGCCGTTGGGGACGCCATTGACTGGCGATGAGTCCTCGTCGTCGTCGGAGACCTCAGTGATGCACGCATAATTTCTGCTTGGCATCGTACAATGATTCCACTCCGCACCTTTCATCACGCCCCCTGGTTGTTTGTTGAACATCTTGAGGAGTGTCTCGTCGGTATTCCCATCCCTCAGATGGTGGATTTTATTTCTCCGCGCGAGCAAGTTTGCCACGGCTCGGGGAGGCGGCTTGTTGGTAATGGCGCTGGAGATGATGTTGGCCATGTATCGTGGATCGTTCATTGCGTCCAAGTTATCTGCAGGAGTCGAGTAGAAGCGACCCAATGCTGCAAGGTGCACGTCTCCTCCTAGGATAGTGATTCGCACAGAGAAATCTGTCGAGAGTTTCTGCAGTCGAAGGACTAGTTCGCGTCGTTCGGTCTTGTGGTGGCGTGCTGTATAATGGTCGTCCAGATCGTCTAGAAGATCAACAGCGCCGTCGAAGTGGTTGAAAAACCCGCCGGCGAAGCCGAACCTCTTATTAAGCAAGCGAATGGGGGCTATTAAGGGCGAGGTGAGGATGTTTTCCAGCCATGCCAGTCGGGGATATGCGATGGGCACGCCCAGGAGGAGAATCAAGTGCTTGATTTCTCCATGTGCCGCCTTGAACTCACTCTCAAGTCTTTCAAAGATTAAGTCGTATGTGTCTGAATAGTTGACTTGTTTTCTCGTCCTTTCCGTCCTCGCGTCAATACCGCAGAAAGCCATACGGCGACCGAGGCGCATATACAGGTTTCTCGACCGTTCCTCAACGTAAGGCCCGGGGCGTTTGCCAACAATCCAACTGGGGTCGTCTGCCGTCCTCTTATACACATACGTGTTTTTCAGTTGACGCGGATCTTCCCCTGCCGTGCCATTGGCATCAGCACCCATGGTCTTTGGCGCATCCGTTGTGAATGTGGAAACTGGTGGAGCAGTGTGATGCTGGAATAAGCAATAGTACTTGAAACTGACGCCACCAAGACCACGGAACACAGCACATCTCATGAAATGGTCGGTATAGGAACCGAACCCGTCAATGATGTCGTGGTCGTCCCAGATGTTAATCTGGGGGATCTGGGAATTGGCCGAGGCGAAAGGTTCTGTGGAGTACCATCGGATGTAGTTCTCAAAGTAATACTTGTCACATCGGTCCCTCAAGTCCTCGTTGAAAAGGTAGTCTCGTCTCTTTTGGGGATTCGCGATGTCCGTCCATTCCTTCAACGGGCCCTTGACCCGAACCGAATCGTTATAAATCTGGTCGCCTCCGCCAATCATGACATGGAACGGGCGCTGTTTGTGAGTGCGCAGGACATCATGCCATAACGCAGGTCCTAGAGGATTACATGTCAACGTCCTCGTCCATTTTCTTTAGACCCTGACCAAGAACACCTACCTGACCAGAAATCCTCGTCCGTTCCGACCGAGAACCCGTTGCAAGAGTGAAACATGATACGCATTGATTGCGTGGTAGAAGGCACTACAAACTCCCTGGACGGCTCCTTTGTGACATTGGTGAGGAATTGCATGTTTGAAATCGAGTACTGCCATCTGGCTTCCGCCTCAACCAGAGGTACTTTGAGAGTGAACCGCCAAAATGTCTTATCCGGATCAGAGTAGAGCTTCAACCCTCGCACCAAATGTGACGGCAAAGACTTGGACTTTGCGCCGGATTCCAATGCCCCGAGGGTCTTTAGTTCCAAATTTGGAGTGTTGATATTGGGTTTCGTGACGAGGAGGACGGAGCCGTGCCAGAAGACATCTGAGGAGCCTTCATAACTCATTCGCTGGTAGTTCAGTAGAGGGCCACATAGGACATCGAATTCGGAGCTGGAGTTTGTGATCTCTGGGCCTGTCCCATAACCTTCCTGCGACTCTGCGACGCGCAGGTACTCGCCGTCGCCCGTGTTTCCGTCTACCTGGCCTAGCAGTGACTGTCAGCCAACTACAGAAGTTGTCTGATTTCGAGTTGTGTAAGTCTCACCTTCCATTGTATATTATGGTCCGCTATCCCGTCCTAACAACTTGTCGCGGTGGACAATTGAGTCGGCAGCTCAAAGCGCGTTTTTCGACAAGCGGGCCGCGCTCGATCAACCGTAAGACGCCCGAGTAAAAGTGGTCAACGTGAAGAGGACACCCAAGGAGCAAGGCGTGGTAGTAACACAAGTGAGAAGAATGCGGCCCGGAAAGAGGAAAGGGAAATCAGGAAAGAATTAATTGTTGACAGCGACCACAGCTCAAGGAAACACGGATCGAGAGGGTAGGTTCACAAGGACACAGCCAGCTGATGGCAGGTCATGGGCCAAGATGTGCTAGCGATGCAATCTGATGCCGTTGTGTCGGCTGCTCGTGGCTTCGCAGCGCAGTCGATCGGATCTGTGTTGTGAGAGGCTGGTAAGACGCATTGTTGCTGTATTCGGTGATCTGGACTCCATTTGGCTGCCCATGTATGATGACGCCAGGGGTCACGCCTAAGCAGTAGCGGGAAGGGGGTCCCCTCGGCGTGGGCCATTGACCCGGGCGGATTGGAGATTGGGATCCCTCGGCCTTAATTACTAGGCCTCACTAACCAGCCACAGGCGACCACCCAATGGCACCCATAGCAGAGCCAGCCACCCACCAGCGGGTCTCGATCGGGAGCCACTCCAGAGCCCAGCTCAGGCTCCAGCTGGCTCCAGGCTTCCCCCTTTCTTGACTCGTTCTCGTCGTACATTTGTCTTCCCATGGTACCGAGTACGGACTGTGCAAGTGTCTAATTAGGTACTCGGTACAACTCGGTCTGTACGGGTACTCTACTCGTGAACTTCGAATGCACGTCATCTACACAATCTCTTCTAGAACATCCCGGGTCTGCATCTCATGCCAATACTCCGTATTCCCTACGGCGCCACCAGCACAAGTCTTCAACTTCAAGTTCTCCGTCGATCTCTGCCGTCTTGGCTGGCTACAGACGGGCTCCGATAGGTAACACTGCCTCCAAAAACCTGAAATTCCATGGCTCATTAGCTGGCATCCATCGCACAAGGCTTGTCTCTCATTTGCTCTAGCCACCGTGATGAGCATCAGCCACAATGCTTAACTTTCATCCTTGGTGTCCTCAATGCACGTCTGTTCCTTCATTATGTGACAATAGCTTGGCTTTTCAGCTGGCTGTGGCATTGCTGGGGGAATCGGGGCTTGTGCCCAGTTCGTTAACAACCATGACTCCTGAACCCCTTTGAATGCTTGCTCTAACGCTAAGAATGCAAACGACCCCCTATGCGCCGCTGCTAACATCTGTACCGAGTACGAGGTACGAGGTAGATCTAACCACCTGCTCATATGCATGAATCTTCAATCGTGAATATAAAAGTTGCCCTTCCTCGCTTACTCCTTGTCGTCCTTGGGTTGAGGATCGCCAATCCCACTGTCATAAATGGCAAACAGGGTGTCGCTTTCGGGCAAACATGGACTGTCGTAGATCTTGCAGATCCGAGTCTCGCCTCGACCCTTTTTCAAGCTCAGTCTGGTAGTGCTTGCATGGGCGATAATGTTGCCGCCAATGGGTTTCTTCGGGTCTGGGTTGAACATGGCGCTGGGGCCGCCGTCCACTTGTGCAACCACTTGGTTGGTGATGACCACGGCGATGCCAAACTCGTCCGCGAGTCTTTGTAGCGTGCGCAGGAATTTGGCCATGTGTGATTGTCGTGAGGAGAGTTCTCCTCTGCCGTTGTAATCTGTGCGGTACAACGAAGTCGCCGAATCAACAATCAGCAAGGAAAACCGGGTTTCACACATCATCTGCGACGCTTGCTGAAGGAGCTGCAGCTGGTGCTCAGAATTGTACGCCCGAGCATAGGCAACGTTGTCAAGGACTTCCTCGCCTTCGAGACCATATCGCTGTGCCACTGACAGCAAACGAATAGGTCGAAAGGTGCCTTCGGTGTCGATATACAGACATTTTCCTTCCCCGCCTCCCATATCAAAGGGCAACTGGCAGGTAACCGCCATTGTGTGACAAATCTGACTCTTCCCAGTGCGGAATTCGCCGAAGATCTCCGTGATGGAGCCCGTTTCAATACCGCCACCTAGTAGTCGGTCGAGGTTCTTGGAGCCAGTAGTTATCGAGATCAGATCGCTTCTTCGGGCATGCATCTCAGTGGCGGTCGTGAAGCCCATGGGGACCAGTTTCATCGCTGCCACTGATCAGCCTAGGTCGCCAAAGCTATGTTTGTTTGCAAACCTTCATTCAATAATTTGGAAGCCTTAGCCTCTGATATGCCTTTGATCTGTTCCAATTGTCTGCGCGGTCTGTGTAGAATCATGAGCTTGGTTGCAGTCGATACGGGAGTTGGCGCCTACGTGTATGCAATGGACTCGACTGTATGGTAGCCGCCCTCGGTGACCAATTTGATGTCTCTTTCAGTCAGGCCTGCAACGCCCTAGAAAAGATTCAGTTCCCTGAGATGAAGATCCAAATCTAATGCGGAAGCTCACCACCAACTGAGAAATTGGGATGGGTGCTCCGGGACCCCCAGGCATGTCTTCGTAGTCATCTTGAGGGGCGTCATTACTCTCAATCTGTGTCATGGCGGTCGTCGGAGCTGCAGTGAAAAGGCGAGGTCAACGAGTACGATGTGAAGAAGATGGAGAAGCTGGGCGCACTCTACTGAGAGAAGCCAGGGTGAGCGGAAAGTATGGCACGACAAGAAGTTTGAAGTGCGAAGTGGCCAAATAGCGACCGCGTGTTGTCGTGGGGAAAAGTTTCCTCGACGCGTCTGAAGACTTGACGTGCCACGGTCACCCACGGGTGCCACGGGTGCTGCTAGAAGCCCACGGAATAACCCTTGACCGACACGCGAGATCACGTGGCGTAAATCACCGCCGAGGCCCCAGCTTTGTCTTACTAGGTACCTGAGGTAATAAATAGTATCGGAACTTGTTCCCCTTTTCACACATGTGCCTCTGAGTAACAACATACTTGTTCATCTCTACAAGTCAATGCTCGATGAAAGATTGAAAACTTCGGTGATTCATATGGAAAAAAAGGGGAATACGTTAGTCCTCCAGCCGAAAACAGTCCTTGTCAACTTAACTGCCCTTTTTCCCATCCGCTAGTTCCCTCACCTCCCGGTCGATGTTCGATTTGTCCCACGCTTTAGAGTAGTTGTACATTTCTCGCCTTCCATTCTTCGCCTTCCATTATGTGATTTTTCAGCCTGTCCAGCCTTTCCAGCCCTTCCACCCCGTCAGGTAAGTCGTGGTGTCCTTCCACATCTCCCCTGTCAAAGAAATTGTCGTCGCTCACAATGCTTTTCGAGTCCCCCAAGTCCCAGGCCGCAAACATACATTCTTCGTGACTTCACGGTTCCCTTTTTGTGCCTTGCGCCATAAAGGAAATTCGGTGCTGGCATTGAGCCATATCATTCTATGCATCTGCTCACATATCCCATGAACTCTGGGTCTTCCAGCAGTCGGGCCATGTCTGCTTCTGCCATCTGTATGACGGCCTCGAGATAGTCCTTTCGGTCGTCGTACGGCAAGATGATGCATGAGCCAGGATCCTTACTCCAGGGCTTCCGCACCCAGTCTGGCCGACCGAGGTCCATCTCAAAAGTCGATTCGTACGTCTTCAGCTTCAACCAGCTCGTGATGTACATATCTGCACCATCTGTTCGGTCCATATTGCTCGCTTGCAAATCTCGGACGTCAATCTTGGGATTGGGATATGTTGCCAGGGCAATCGCCTGTCGGATATAAGGCTCATCAACTGCGTTGATGGCCTTACGGACCGCCAATGCCGTCTCGGTCATAGAAGCTACACTGTTGTCCGCCAAGTGGCAAACGGGCATTTCGACCGAAGCGAAATCGACGGCGGCTCCAAAGTAAGACTCTGACAGTGGCTTCTTCAGCCTACGGCGGATGTCGACGGGGATTAGAAGCTTCGACGTAGTCACCTCCGGCACAGAAGGGACCCTGGCCTTCGTCATTCCATGCCAGATCAATGTTAGCAAAGCGTCATGCCGTGTCATGAAGGCGTCATCGGCATGAGCCAGGAGATCTCGCTTCAGATCTTCCAGCTTGCACTCGGGAAACGCAAATACGCAGCCACGACCCCGAGGTTTGATGGCCTCCTCTGCTGCAGGTATCGGCTGGGCCGTCCTCCACTTCAGCTCTCGATTGGTGATCTGATTGGCGAGAGGGTAGGACAGCTCCCTTCTGACGATGCTCTTGCGAGTAGCGAACGCGTCGAGTCTCATCGAGAGACTTGGAATGTCGTGACCGCGAGTATCCAAGTGACGGTCGAAAGCGAAGTCATCGTTCAGCACGCTGCCTGAAGCGAGCAAGCCAAACCCTGTGCCATCAGAGATGCAATGGTGGAGGTACACGGACACGATGATGCCCCCTTCCACAATATTTGCCTGGACTCTGAAAACCGGGGCCCGGTGCTCATCAGCAGACTCTCCCAACGCAGAGACCAGCTCAGGCTTGATGACGCTGGGCGGTAGACCTCGTTCGCAGATCTCGTCATAGGTGTATGGGAACTCTTCGCGAGTGAATTGACGCACGCTGACGTGAGGATATTCGAGGAAGTCCGTGTCGGAAAATCGTATCTCAACTGCACCCAGACGATTTCCTGGATTGTCCACTGCTACCACATAGCCACTCAGATATGGCTTCGCGTCCACAGTCTTCCGAATGAAGTGATTCAACTTCTCCACCACCGCTGGAAGTGCGTCTGGGCTTGGCAAGCGATATGCAAAACAGATGCGAATGTACGACCGAGGCATGCAGTGCTCGATACTGGACAACTGAATAACGTGATCTGAGCCTGGGTGTTCATAGGGACTGAGGGCGGCATCGACTTCAGGACTGCGAGACCGGACGATGCCGTTCGGGGTGATGACGGATCCATTCGTATGAAGGTCGTCGGATGGATCAAGATCTGTATTGTTCTCGGACAGGTTGGGCGTTGCGGCTGATGAGGGAAGCGCGCTGTCTGGACTGGAGCCGTTCGTGAAGTCTGACATTGTGCCGTTTTTACAGGGATCGGGTTCTTGATTGGAATCAGTCATGATGGAGCTATTTCTTGAGAATGATGTTTACCAGGGCAAGCGCGAGGTGAGAAAACAGGACCGAGGTTGGCGGACAAGGAGCTCTTGTTGCTTATTGGGTCTTGCCAGGCTGATCTGATGGCATTACGCTGGAGAACGAGCATGGCTGTCGGATCTTTATGTAGGTCCCTCGAGGCGTCACTGCCAAGAGGTGAATACCGTGACGAGCGGCAAGAACCAGGCGAGGCGTTGGAGGCAGGGGCAGGGACCATCCGACAGTGAATCGATATATACCTGAAAGTGAGTGTGAACTGAGATGTCTCGGTGCTAACAAACAGGTGAGAAAGCAGCTCCAACCACCACCAGCTGCCCGACAGGTCAAGTTCAGATGACGTTCAGGTGTAGTCGGAGAGACAGCACTCCCCTCTGGAAGCCACCCTGTTAATATAGACAGGTCGCACGCCTGTTCAGTCGGTCAAGGTGACAGACAGGCCAATCATATGCCGGCAGGCTGATGGTTGTGTAAACGTAAGAATTCAACCCCAGAGTGAGAGAAGGACTCATTCAATGGCCAAACTGCAATTGACTAACCCAACCGGAGAGAGACGAAGACAAAGGGAACTAAATAGACGAAGACATCCTAGGAGAACCAGAGCAGATGTAAGAGGATAGCCGGGTGTAGATGAAGGATGAGGAATTGGCTGCCTTTCTGCGCAAAGACCCGGATGCTCTGTGATCGCGGTGGGGAATGGGATGGTTAAAACTTACGTGCCCGCTTTGCGCCTCTGCAGCTCGACCCATGTGGCCTTGTCTATTTCATTCCCCTAATTATCGGGCTAGCGCTGCCCATTTGAGTGAGGTGCGTGATGTCTGGCTCGCCAGTGTGCGGAACTGCCCAGGCTTCCTGGACCGGTGCACCTTGACGAGACCACACTCACGGCTCAACAAGAGGGCAGGCAAAGAAGAGACAGCCTGCCCAGGACGTGGATCTGGCGAGCGGGATATCTCAAAATGCGGTGGACTAGTTAGCAAGGCGAGCGATTGACAGATGAGCGACGACCAGGACAAGGGCAGGGCGTCGGTCCCCTGGCGCTGTGTCACCTCGCCACTCTGCCGACGCGAAGGCAGTCAGCCTCGCTCGTCAATGTCCCGTAGAACCTTTGGGAGTCATCTCAGGCTCCACCAATGCAGTCGATACAGTTTGGAACATATTATTGCTGCATCGAATGCGGCCAGTGGGCTCGCACAATGGGCTGGCGCCGGCTCTCCCAACTCGTCCAGGAGCAGTAAGGGAGCAGGGGCACAGGAGAAGGACGGCTCGAGAGGTGCAGCACGATCTTGGGTCAGCTGAGCGACACAGGCGGTGGAGGTCCGGCTTGCAGATCGGCGGCGTGGTGCTGGTGCAGGCACGAAGAAAGGGAGGTGTGTGTGAGCAGTCGCTCGAAGGACAGGACGAACAGGCGAAGCGGCCAATGGTGCTGGGCAGCATGCCACAAGCGAGCCGTCTGCTTGACATCGAGCACTACGGCGGCATGCATGATGCAAAGGGTGTGTGGATTTTGTGGGAGGAGAAGGGACGAGTGGTTTTGGATAAGAGCAAGATAGCAGCAGTAGTGGTCAGAGAGTGGGATAGTCGCGACCGGGGTCTCGAGAAGGCATGGGCCATGCCATGGGGGCACTGGGCAGATGGTCCAGGATTATCCGCTCTAGCCTCTGCACGGAAGGGCTCGTTGTTGACCGTTTGGTCACATTTCCCAGTCGAGTGATTCCGTGGTGAGAAGATGATCTATTAGCCGAGAATAGCAGCGTGGGAGCATGTCTCCGCAAGCCGTGGGAAGGGCGATGCCGCAATCTTGTCGAAATGTGTGCGAGTGCGGGTGTTTCCCTGGCACAACAAGGGCGGGAGAGGGGCCAGGAACTCATGGAGAGGGGAGGTTTGGGATTTCGAAAAGGACGGGGTTTGAGTCCACGGCCCCAGTGAGACAAGGCCCGAAAGGTTCTTTCGTCAACCACCTTCAGGCATCGAAGGTTCACCTTCGGTTGCACCGCCTAACTCAGGCAAGACTAGCCCCATTAAAAGAGACTTCGTGCCCGAGGGAGAGCACATGGAGGAGAGGGAGTGCGGGACGCGAACGCCTCGACAAGGGGCACTTCACCCCCCAAAACCAAGCTGCTCTTCCGTGACAGAGGCCCGCTCAGAGGTCAGGGCTGGAAGCACAGAGACCACCTCCCCAAATTCGTTTCTTGACATAACGAAACGGCAAATCGTAATAAGTATTATTACTTTTCCACGGCCCATTGAGCATGCTGCCAACTGTCAACGACACAAGGGTTGGACCTCTGGTGGGCATTCGAAAGCGCGGGGGCTGTTTGCACCGTTCGACGGGGAACCTGGCTTCCCCGGAAGAGGAAGCCTGCAGTTCCGCGTTTCCAGGGTGGTTTGCTCTGACCGGGGCCAGCTGGCATTCTCCGTGTAGGGTTCTTTAGGCCTGAGGCTAAAAGCTGGTCAGCCCAAACCTGTCCCGCATGGGAACCCATAAGGCACAAGTCCCGACTGTTGGTGTGTGAGCGTTAGGCCTGTCGCTACTCGCTCAATCACTTCTTCTGCAAACTTTCAACATGGAGAGATTCAACGTCGTTGGGTTCTCAAAGCATCGCCTGGTTTTGGAGAGTTGCGGTCTCTGATCAACCGTCCCCCTTGCGGAAGCGGGACGCAATTACGGCTGGCGGAGGGTCGAAGAGTCCCTGTGGTCTTGCGCATCTCCACAAATAACAGATGCCGCAAATCCTTGGAGTTGGTGCTTTGCTGTCCTACCAGGTGGACCTGATGCCACAGTACGGAGTAAGCCGTCGCAAGATTTTATAAAACCACAGCCTGTTTGGAAACATTTCCTGCATTTGATGGGCGGCTTTAGTGTCGACAACTTTTCGGCATCGAGCTATGGTGCGCCGACCTTGCACGCAGAAGCGAAAAGAGCCATCGAAGGACTGCGCAGACTTCCTCAAGTGTACTCTTCTTGCTGGATAGGCCTCTAGTACGAATCATGTCGTAGTGTTGGGTGCTGTGGCTAGCAACACCAGTGTGTCATACTTTCTTTCTGCTCGCGTGTCGACTTCGTTGACCCACCTGTTTTGCCCGATGGCCATATCATCGTTTCGGTGGCGCTGGGTTGCAGTTTCTACTACGTACAGCGTACCGAGTACCGAGTACATGCAAGAAGATCCCATGAGGCGGGTAGAGTGACTGACACCCAAACCTGCGTAGCTTGCATGACTGGGGTGTAGGCCCCCATTTTCGCCAATGGATTGTTGGTGGACCTTCACCGCTCTGATGATGGCACATGCATATTCAAGATTCTTCATGACCTTGTTCAAAGGGAAACGCCCGGAAGGCAGTCCTCGGGAAGTCTCAGACAGGCGGTCATGGGTAAGCGATGGCTTGCGGCAAGAGAGATTTTGGTGGCCGCCTTGAATGGCCCCAATGTTGACCTGCACATCCAAAGAATGCCGGCAAGGCCTCAGAAGTGTTTTGACACCTGCATCCCTTAGACCTTGGGGGTGGCCAGGTCAAGTGTCAAAAATAAGGAGACGGCCAGGGAGGGCGACGAATCCACGCCAGCAGATAGTGCCTTTGGTACGGATACTGAATCCGAAGTTGTGATGAAGTCTGAACAGCCATTAAGCTTCGAGGTCGACCAATGTTCCGTCAACCCACGCGGAGCGAGGCCTACTCTGTAAGGACGACTTATCCGCTCTCTGCCGCCTCGTAAATCCCCTCAAATCGCAAGAACCAGCAGTAATGCCACGGGTGGGAGGGCGGATGGAGGGGACACTGTGGCGTCCTTCCCCCAATCCCTAAAATGGTTGCTTCTGGGCCGTGTGGCGGTGCCTAGCGTGGAGTGGATACTATCGATCTGGAGGATTTAGGCGCTGTGTCCACCACTTGTTGCACCCGATCGGACCTGTACTCCCTGGGTGCTCCCGTGTCACTGACCTCGTAAAGACGGGACAGGGAACAGCGCCCTGGTGCAAACATGGAATCCTGGGTTGCAATCTTTTACGGCCCGGAAACGAAGTCCATGCTAGGGCTATCAGCGGTAGCTTGCTTAGGCTCTTCGCAGTCCAAGGCGTCGAGTTGTTGGCCACGCGTTCTCGGCTGGTGGCGATTCGACCTTGCCTTTGCCTCTTTTTGTAAAATCAATGATGCATCATGTGGAGGCTGTCTGGTATCAGCAAGGCAGCCAGACCGCGCTGGATGTAGAAGCTATTGGGGTGTCTTGTGCTACCGTACACTGACCCTTGCTCGGCTGAGGATCTTCGCAACCTGGCCCGGAGGAGTCGCATCTTCAAAGCTGAATACGAGAACGGAATGTGTGCAATACGAAGAAAGGCCTTTGAAACACAATTAGCGGTGACCGTCCAAGGTCTTTTCCTGCAGCCAGCAGCCAGGTGCCCAGGGTAGGAGGATGATGGACCATGGAGAAGGGGAGCCCGCCCATACACCTTCACCACCAGCATCAGGTCGCCAGGTCCTTTGTGCTCTGGCTCAATCACGCGTGCAGCTCTTCCAAATACCACTTGTCTAATGCAACCCCTGGTCTCCCGCAGCTGCAGGTTAGAACATTGACAGCGGGATGAAGGACAGCTTGATGAAACCCAACACCATTGACAGCCATGCCAGCATTTTGGGATTGGTAGTTCTGCCCGAAGTCCTCCAGGGATCTTTTGCAAATAGCCAGCCGTGCCAGCCAGCCGTGCCAGCCCGCTGGGGCAGGTGACTCTCATGGTGGATTCAGAACTCCGCGCCGCGACGCAAAGGGGGGATCAGCAAGTTCAAGATGTGTCTCAGGGGCGACTGCTGGTAAGGATAAGCGAGACTGCGAGAGAAGAAGCGGTGCCAGCGAGGAAGAGAGGATACCTGGATCTCGGAATCCCATCCGTCGCGGAAGAGGGTAAAGAATGGCGCCGCGCAGATTCTGGTTGGCGCATCTGCTCATCACCTACCACATTTGCATGCCGCAGAAGCAATAACATAAAGCTTTCGACTCATCAAACCTCCCTAGCAACGAGAACTGGTTCAAAGAAGCCGACGGGGCGTGGGAGGGCAACCAGTAGAAGATACAGGATGGAAGGGTCATTCATGCATTAGGCGGGTTGGATGCTGTGTCCCCATGCGGGTGGTGCACGCTGGGGAGCGCAGGTGACTCGGTGACTGCTGCCAGTCTGCTGGTGACCGCCGGTGGACCGCTGGTGATGGGTGGTGAATGGGTGGTGACCTCAGCAGCGAGCGGCAGCCACTGATCTGTCATCCCACCACTTGGGAAGGTATGACGATCACGATTTCCACCTTCCCACTTACTACTAGCCTCTCCCATAGCGTAGCCTGCCTTTCGAGTTGCCTGCGCCAGTCTGGCACTTGCACACACTTGCACACACCTCGACACCCTGCGACAACCACCATCCATGTCGCACCTCGTATACTATTGATTGTCTCTTCCCGTGTCGGTCAATGGAATAGAATGCTCTGGCCGCCTCGCCGCCTCCGCCTCCGCCTCCTCCTCAGGTTTGATCTGCTCAGCTCGGCTTGATCTCTGCCAGCAGACTATCCTCAATTCTTCATCATGTTCTGTCCGTTCCCCACCTCCCGATTGTCCCGTGCGATGGTGTAGATGTCAGGTCGCCGTCTATCCTCCCCACCGGGCTGGCTGCGCAGCCATACCGATCCCTCAAACATGAGTCGGTCTCAAGATCAAGAATGAACCTCAACCAAAGACATGTCTTGTCTGCCGCCATTGCAGCCTTCATCGCATGGGGTCTTGCAGTCCGCGCCCTTCCCGTCTTGCGCTTCCTGGGATACGCTTTCACCCTTGGCTCTCTGGTCACTCTTGTGATTCTGCTTGCAGCAACCCTTGGTGTCTCTAGGTCGCGCGCCGCCTACCAGGCCCTGTCCGAGCCTCCCAATGCGTCCCCTGCCTTTCTTCTCCCTCCGAAGTGGGACTCCGAAGTATCAGCTCTCCGAGTCTCTCAACACTACCAACCTCTCCATCTCTACGACCAATCCTTTGTCGTCTCCCAAGCCCTTGAGGCTCTGATTGGTCTTGCCCTCCGCGACTTCGTGTCCTCCTGGTACCAGAACATTTCCAAGAGTCCGGTCTTCATCAATGAAGTGGACAAAAATATTCGCGCTGTGTTGGTGGAGATCAGAGACCGGATCCTCGCCGAGGACATGGTCAATGTCGTCGTGTCCAAGATTGTGCCCTTGATCACCGCACATCTGCGTGATTTTGACCAGGCCGAACGAGTTGTTCGAGGCCGCAGCTTGAATCGCAATGTTACCGAATCCGAAGAGCTGGAATTGGCTATTGCAGCCAAGTACAAGGATGGAAAGCTGCATCCTGCTGCTGCCCTTGCGTACTCGGATACAAAGACGGTCCAGCAAGACCACCTTCGGAAAACCCTGGTCCGCATCCTGCCGGACCTTTTATCCCCAAGCATGATGGGCAGTCGCGCCACCCTGGTGCTCGTAAAGGAAATTGTCGCCGGCGCTGTGCTGTTTCCGATCATGCAGTTGCTTTCTGATCCGGACACGTGGAACCAAATCGTCGAAGCCTATGGACGGACCGCTTTACAGGACAGAAAGACAGTGCGCAGAATGAGAGCGGCTTTGGATCAGCACGCTTCTCCCGTCCCCCGAAGCAAAACCGGTCAAGAGTTGCCACGTTTAGCACCCAATGACAGCGAGCGTGCTTTTGAGCGATTTGTTAGAGCCATTCGCAAAACCAAGAACCTGTCAGATGCTCGACGGTTCCGGAGCTCAGTCGCGAGCCAGATTCAGCGCGAGAGCCTGGTCGAAGGTCAGGATCCCGTCTACCTGCGGAGGTTGGAAATGGCCAAACGCGTGTTGGACCAAAAGATTGCCAAACTCACCCAGACCGGACCCGTTCCGCAGGCAGTGATGCCACAGCCTGACTCGCGGCCCATCCCAGCTTCGAAGCCCCGCGAATGGACCATGGTAGAGATTATGCATACTGCCTCAGGACTATCGTATTTCATGGAGTTCATGGATCGCCAGAATCGTATGTCTATGGTACAGTTTTGGGTGGTGGTCGACGGCTTCCGCAATCCCCTTGAGGACGATTTCGGGGATGAGTTGAACCCAGCTATTCAACAAAATTGGACCGATGCAGATCGTATGGACATTGCTCAAATTAGTGAAAAATACATGTTAAAGGAAGAATTGAACATTCCACAAGAGTCCAAGGATGCCATCAAAGCCTTCTTGGCCGCTGGACGGAAGGCGACTCCTCAACAATATCGAGCTGCTAGAACTGCCATTCTGGCCGCTCAGTCTGCCGTCCTGGAAGAGTTGGAAACACGACATCTGCCAAACTTTAGAAAATCCGACCTCTACTACAAATTTCTGGCTTCTGCCGAAGCAGCCGCAGCACGTCCTCGCCTGCAAAGTACAGGCACCCTTTCTGAGGGGAACGGGCAGGTTGCAACTGACACTAGCAGAGCCCTAACCCAGGGTCCTCCTGTGACGAAAACCAGTTCCCAACTTGCCATGCGAAATAAAGATCTAAGGCGAGCTGCCGTGTCGTCGTCGGATGTTCGAAGTTTGGCCTCTTCCAAGTTGTTTGACGATGGAGATTTTGCCAAACGATCTAGCGGTTCCACGCCCTTGTTCGACGATGGTTATGACACTGACCCGTTGGCACATTCCACTCACAGCCTCGGACACGAGTCCCTGAATGGCGACTCCCTAGATCAGCGTGAGGTCATTGAGAATATGGAGGCGGCGATGAATAACATTATGACTGACAGCCCGATGGATGAGACCATGGGCTACGATGACGATACACTGTTTGGTTCCCCGGTGTCGGCGACCAAATCTGCGAAGAACATCGACTCGCCCCGTAGCTCCCTCGATATCCCCGGCATTGACCAGGCCAACAGACCCAAACCTAGCCTGGCAACTCTCGGACTTGTCAACACCTCCTCCCGTATCGGTGTATTCACCGACAACGATCTCTTTCCTGACGAAGAAAAGTTTATTGAGGATGAATACGTCGACAATGACGACAATAAAGGGGACAATGGAGACGAGGACGAGATCCATGAGGCTGCGCCAGGGGATCTCGGCCTTGCTGAAGCGATCACAGCTCTTAATAACGATATAGAGCGTTTGGTAGCCCAAGAATCCGTGGTGGACACATTGACTCGTAAGGCTGAGCTAACAAACAATATCGCGGAGCTGCGAATTCTGAACAAATCCAAATCCAGTCTCCAGAGGGAAATCCGTCGCAAGGAGCTTCAGCGTCAGCAATATATTGTCCAGGAAAGCGACAACAGTTTGTATGGTCGATCCAGCATCTCTATCAAGTCTGTTGTGGTGGGAAAGGAAGACGACGGCCGGGAATTTGCGCTGTATGTTATTGAAGTGCAGAGACAGGCTGGTGACCAAATGCCGGCAGCAGTATGGGCGATTCCTCGACGATATTCCGAATTCCATGAATTACATCAACGACTACGACGCAGATACCCTTCAACCAGGAATCTCGAATTCCCTCGGAGGAGGGTTGTGATGAAGCTTCAAAAGCAATTTCTGCAGAACCGGCGTCTTGCACTGGAGCATTACTTGCAACAATTACTCCAAATGCCCGATGTATGTCGAAGCAGAGAATTACGTTCGTTTCTCTCACAGTCAAGTATCAAGTCACACCAGGACACCAGCAAAGAGTCCAACGCACAAGATATCGTGACTCGGATTTACAATTCTGTCACCGAGGGCATGGATGAGTTCCTGGGTAACGTGTCGGTCCTGGATCAACTATCTGTAGCGGGACAGAACCTGATTTCGGCCGCCACAAACCAGCTGGGCATGAATCAGGCTGACATTGTTCCTCTGGAACCCGGTCCAGTGGCCGAGGCTGAGGCGGAGTTGGCAGCTTTTGAGGACAAGGAACTGGAGCCGTTTGTGAAGCCAATCTGTGACATTTTTCTCGAGACGTTCGAGCTGAATCGAGGCAACAACTGGCTTCGGGGGCGTGCCGTGATAGTGGTTCTTCATCAGCTGCTCGGAGGGACCATTGAACGCAAAATCCGCGAAATCTTTACAGGGTTTGTGCAAGAGGAATCACTCCTCAGGTACATTGACATGATCAAGGAGACCATGTGGCCCGGCGGAGGCAAGATGAGAGAGGCCACGCCACGAACAGCTGCGGACAAGAAGAAGTCAAAGTCGGAGGCGGCGCTGATGTTGGCCACGCTGATCCCTGACCTGGCTGGAAATGTGGTGGGAAGAGCCAATGCGCAAGCCGCTGCCAGAAGGATCACGGCCACCATGAACAACGCGCGACTCAATCAGCATCTCGTCTTTACGATTCTTGATGAGGTCGTTGGGGTGCTGTTTGATCCTGCGAAGAAAGGGGGGTTCTCTTGATACGTGATTCATGTAATTTGGTGGAAGCACGGGAAAACGCGTTGGAGCTCGGGCGGAATCCGACTGTATTATCTTGTGGCTAGTGAAGCCCACGACGGTCTTTTGGTCCGCCCAGGGGAAACCCGGTTGTACATAGAGATAGATATAAAAATGAAAATAGGCGTATTGCACAATATCTTGTTGCACCGTGACGTCTACCGCGTAATGATACGTGGGAAGTCCCCCCTGTGTGAACCTGATGAATGGATGTCTGGACTCTGGTCCGCGGCGAGTGAAGAGTGAGGAAGCCTGGTTTATTAGTACCTACAAATTTATATCTCATATATAGCCCGTATATCTCTCCACCCTAACGTCTATGTCCTCGCCTTGAGCACCACGCCGCGAATGCCCTGCAGCCCGCTCCTGAGCAGCTCGGCGAGAAGATCCCTCGTCCTCTGCAGACCGTGTTTGCGGGTAAAGACAATAGCCCAGGTCAGACCTAGCAGGCTGAGGAGTTTGACGGCGCGGGCGGCTGCGAGCCTCACGCGGCCTTTGCGGGTGTATGCCAGATCCCAGTGGCGCCAGACGGGGAACATGCAGCGGATGGTGAAGTCGACCTGCGTGCGCGGGTAGACGGTCGAGTTCCAGCCGTTGACGCGGTCCGTGTACCAGTTCACGCAGCCGCCGGACATGAAGACGCTGTTTCGCAGTTCGCGCTGGAGGTCGTCTGTCCATTTGCGTTCGGCGCTCTCCTTGACCTCGACGGTCTCGACGTCGCCGCGGAGGATGGGGCCGATGAATTTCAGGGCGTAGTTGACGGCGTTCTCGCTCGCGAGGATCACGCTGCTGTGGCCCGTCGCTGTGTTGGGGCCGAAGATCATGAAAAAGTTCGGGAAGCCGTCCATCGCGGTGCCGAGGTAGGCTTGGGCGCCGCCCCGTTCGTCCCACGTCTTGTATAAAGAGCGGCCGTGGCGGCCTGTTACGTCGAGCGGGTGGAGCCACTGGTTTGTCTCGTAGCCGTTGGCCATGATGATGACGTCGGCGGGCACGGTGCGTTGCTCGGTCGGAGCTTTGGAGTCTGTCTTGGACATGGGCGGGTAGAGGCGGCCGGGGCCCAGGGTCACTGAGCGAGGCTGGATGGATGTGATGGGCAAGGTGGTGATTTCCACGTTCGGTAGCTGCAGAGACTGGAACCACCCTTCATCCACGACCCGGCGCTTGCAAAAGACTTCGTAGTCGGGAGTCATGATCTCGTGGTACTCCTCGGGCACGGTCTTGCGGAGGTAACGCAGGAGCTCCTCGGCCTTCCTTTTGCGGCGCTGTCTCGCGGCCTCGTTGGGCGTGAACAACTCGACGAACTCGAGCTCGCTCATGGCGAACATCAACTTGCGCAACCCGTTCTGGAACCCGGGAACATATTGGGAGAGGAAGGGGATCCATTTCTTCCAAAACTCCTTGGCCGCAGGTGGGAGGAATTGCACGGCCCAAGGGGGCGAGCGCATCAGCTGAGTGACTTGTTTGGCGCCGTGTTCCGGCTTGACGAGTTGCGGGACGACTTGTCCTGCCGAGCAACCCGTGCCGATGACAATGACATTTTTGTCTCGCACATCCAGGTCGGGTTTCCAGCGTGCGGTATGGACGATTTCTCCCTCAAAGGTGTCAAACCCGGGGACGTCGAGGGGTGGTTTGGGTTCGACCAAGCCGCCCACGGCGCTGCAGACGACTTTTGCCCGCACAATCTCGGTGCGCAGGACTGTGGGTTTGTTCTCTTTCTCCAGCGCCTGTCTCTCACGGGTGGACAAGTCACCTATCTCCGGGGCGAGATGGTCCAGCTCGACCTCCCACTCTTGAACATCATCAAGCCAGCGCATGCCCTTGACCGAAGTATCGAACTGGATCTTGTCCAGGATTTGGAATTTCTCGCACACGTCGTAGAGGTACTGGATGATTTCGGGTCCGGAGGGGAACAGCGACGTCCAGTGAGGGTTCTGGGCGAAGGAGAACGAGTACATGATGGCGGGGCTGTCGAAGTCGTCAGATCAACCCACAACCCAACTGTAGAAAGGAAGAGGTAGAGAACCAAACTTACACATCGCACGCAATGCCGGGATACTGGTTAGTATGCCATGTGCCTCCCAGGGCAGACCGCCGCTCAAAGATGCGGAACTGATCGAACCCAAGCACCTGTCGCAGTCGACAGCCCATGGCAATGCCAGACTCGCCGGCACCGATGACCAGGACCGGGTAGAATGTGTAGCCGTCCTTGGAAGCAGGCCCGCCATGGCGAATGCGGTCGACTCGCGCCGTCATGTTGGCGGGAGAGTACCCAGGTACCTAGTAATCAAAGGAGAAAAGCAGTGCGGAGGAGCAGGATCCAGAAGCTCTGGAAACAGAAAACGTCCAGAGGTGACGAGGAAGAAGGAGGAAAAGCAGAGGAGACAACGCCAGGGAAAATGTCCAAGAGCTTTTTCTTACCTGGTTCCCTGGCTCAGCAGGATGGGTGAGAAATCAGGCACTTCTATACGCAGTCTTGTCATTTCCTGGCGATGCGGAGCTGCGAAGGGTGGAGGGGGGGCTTTGTCTCCCGGGATGGACGTGTCAGGCAACCCGCAATTGCTGATCATTTGTGAGTGTGTTTAGTTGGCCTAATACGTCTATTAGTACGTCTTAATAAGTGTAGGCCTGAGCTCATATCGCGCCATCTCCCGCCGAAGGAGCTGAAACCCACCCGAGGTTCTTCTTCCCTTCCTTACTCGTACCTACACGAGCAGTAATACGACGGACAGAGGGAGGAATACGAAGAGCGAGAACACTCGTGTCTACCTAGGCAGGGCAGTAAGAGCACAACAGATGCCATGTCTCGCCCTGCGGACAAGGGGCTGTACAGCTCTTAGACGACATACGCCATTTTCTTTTCTACCCGCGCCTCATCGTTCCGTCTCAAGCAAGGCCAGGGATAAAAATATCCGTGAGGTCCCCATCCTCCCATCATGGAATACGACGGTATTTGAACAGGCCTACAAACAAAACCTGCCGGCGCGTCTGCCTCGCTGCTCGAGAGAATCTCTCCCTCCAGCCTGCGCGAAATGGTTCGTCCACGAGAATGACCCGGACTTTGATTTTTTCGGGATTTCCAACGGTGGCGGTGCCGAACCCAGCGATGGGGATGTGATCATCAATGTCCCTCGTTCGTCTGAGCTGCGGACTTCATTCTGGTCCGAGCATGAATCGACTTTTGTGCCGTTGGAGATCACCACCAGCACCACTAGAGGTGCTGCAGCTTTTCTTCCTCACCATGGCAGCATCACTGGGGACGGGGAGGGCGATGGAGAGGGATTCGAGCGCATCGAAGCAGCTCCCCTGAAGATTCTGATCGCAAATCTATCCAAACCACCTGCCAGCAACTCTTCCCAGGCTGATGGCAGTAATATGGGTGATATGTCAAATATGTCAATCTACCTCGCGCAATGCGACCTCTCCTCCCTCCCGCAATCACTACAATCCGACGTCCCCATCCCCAAGCTGCTGCTGCCATCTTCCTCCAACACCACCAGCACAATAAAAGGCGACATCTACTCTTCATCTCTCTGGCTCGGCCGGCCCCCGACATACACCCCCTTCCACCGCGACCCGAACCCGAATCTGTTCATCCAACTAACGGGCCGGAAGACCATTCGTCTCCTGCCCCCAGCAATCGGCGACGCGATATATCACGAGCTAGTCACCACGAGGTTATTTTCACCTACCTCGACCTCGACCTCGACCTCGTTCTCCACGGCAATCAGGGGCGAAGAAATGATGGTGGGGCCGCAGAAAACGGTCCTCCACGATGCCATCTGGAATCAGGACAGCATTTACAGCGAACTTGTCCGCACCCATGGCTTGCAGACGACTCTTGGACTTGGCGATGCACTCTTCACGCCCAAGGGTTGGTGGCACAGTGTCAAGGGAGTTGGCCAGGGCGTCACAGCCAGCGTCAATTGGTGGTTCCGGTGAGCCCGAGACCTGGAACTTACGAAACAGAGACTGTCGAACAAACCATACTATCTGCTATGAGGTCGTTTTTATGGCTGGAAATTGCCATTTCTATATCCTCGTCTAGACAAGCAGAAATTCCTCTCGAAATTCGATGCCCTTCGACCAAATGTTGGGAAGAACGACATGGTACATATCTCCTCCCTTGCTCAACTGCTGCACTGAAATTGCAGGCCCCAGGAAGGTGAAGCGTCCTTCGGGGGTTTCCCGCAGCACAATCAAGCAATCGGAGCCAACCAAAGACACCAAAATATCCTTGTCCTTCGCCAAGCTCGACACAAAAGCATATTCGGGTGCGCAATCGCTTGGACTGAACGTCGTGCCTCCTTCTGGGACCACTTGTCGCCATGTGTATCTGCAATCCTTCTCGATACGATCCATGTTTGGGATATCAGTTTGTGGATCTGAAAGGAGCGGAATAAGAATTTTGTTCTCGTTTGATACATAGTTGCCAGTGAGAACGTCGACCAGGATTGGATAGCCGCCAATCTTGGACCAAGGCACCCGAGAACTGCATTCTGTATTTGTCGAAACGATGCTTGCGATTCGAGTACCATGGCAGACAAGAATGCCATGCTCATCAAAATCCTGAGTTGCTGCGTTGGACCAGAAGCCCAAGTAAATCTGTGAAAAATCCATTTGATATCGGGGAGTGTCGACCCGTAAGTCGATAGCCCATGACGGCAGATCCGCGCTGTGAATACTTCTGTCTTGTAGAATGCACAGGCATTTTAGCGTGCCCTCCTGATTGATGGTATGCTTGAGGAAGTCCTGAAAGACTAGAGAAACAGGCTTGGTATAGTCGATTGCAGGAAAGCCATTGGTGGCGTTGGGCCGAGGGTTTTGGAGTGATGTATGCTGCTCCTTGGACACAATACCCAGCGTTGAGAAGACCTTGTCTTGTGGAAGCGTCGTCTGGTAGATGGTGCTCCTTATCATGGTTTGAAACCAATCCATGTCGTTTGCGATCAAGCACTCCCTGTTGAAGAAGGTATAGCGTAACAGCGCACGAGATTCGTCCGCATTTTCAGTGGTAGAATAGGGGGGGAGCAGAATACCGAGAGCGCCTTTGAACTGCCTGAAGGAAGCCGTGTAACAGCCACAGACCAACTCCATATCTTGTGCGGCATGGTACTCAACCCTGGTCCAGGAGCGTTGGAAAAAGGCTTTGGTGGTGATCAGCTTCGTGGCGGCCCTTTGAGCTCTTGAGTAGCGCAAGGCACTTTCCTCTGTCGCCTGACCTCGTTTGCGGCCGGATTCTTCGAATTCGGTGGAGAGAAACGAGAAAAGAAAGTCATCGTCGTCTGTGCATGTACCCAGCCATGCCACGACCCTCCGAGCCTTGAAAAAGATGAGAACCATCATCGCCACCTGCTTAGCTTTCTCGTCGGGGTTTGCTTGGTCGATACAAAAGGCGTCCGTCCACAAGTATCGGACATCGTGTGGTCTGCGAAGATAACGAAAGGCATCATAGAGCGTCTGGGAAACTGGGAAGCGTATCCCGTTGCAAGTAACGGACTGCGTGAAGGCAGGATAACCCCACGAGTATGAAAGTGCGTCGTATTGAACCCGCTCGCCCTCGTCACTTAGCCCAATGCCCGGAATGGCTACGAGGTCTGCAGTCAGCAGCTCACATGTCGCTGGCGAGTCCAAGTCTTCAGAAGGGTGGATTCTCAGAATGCGAGTCTGCCAGGGGCGAAGCGGCCGGTACAGCTGCTTGCGTATCTCCAATGGTACGCTTCGACATTCGAAGTCGACCACAAGAGCGCTAGAAGGATGGGAGGAGGGTTGGCTCATCGAGGTCTCGTCCATATTCCGGCCCTGGCTTTCACAAGTCGATATGATCGGACACTTGCGTTGATGTCCATCGCCAAAGGTGCGGACCTGAGCTGGTGAGGCTGAACTTGCGGTCGAGTTAGCTTTCAGCCTGATTATGCAGAGTCCAAGACTGCACTCGGCTGATTGGCTGCTGTTTCTCTCACCACTCGTCAAATTGGAGGAAGGAAACGCCGCAGCTCATGGCCGTGTATGATCAATAAGGTAAGAAGGGCGGTATTCTGGGGAGGCTGAAGGTAGAAAGTTAATTGGATTTGAACCACAGCCATATCCGGCAAGCCCTTTCCTTCTCAAGCTGTATGAAGGGGAACGTCGCAGCCTGCAGCCGTGTATGATCAAGAAGATGAGAAGGACGATAGATAGTCCAGCATTGGAGGCTGAAGACAAAATGTAGTTGGACTTGAAATCGCAACCATGTTCTGCCAGTTCTTCCTTCCTCGGGCAGGGACGGTCTTCCCTGGGGAAGGCCTTCTCCGCTATACATATCTCTCAGCCTCGCGCTTCACCATCGGGTGCGATCCAAACCAAACCCCACCCAAAGAAAAAATTTCACACATATATCACATTACTTTCCCCAATTTCCATCACACAAAGACCCCCTTACCACAACAAGGGCGAAGAAACCCGATCCGATCCCGACGACATGACCACAATCCAGGTCCTGTCAGGTCGAACTGGCATCCGGGCCAGCAGGCAGCAGGACCTCGATTTCGAACACACACACACCTAATCTAGGTCCTGTCAGGTCAAACTAGCAATAACGGGTTAGCAGGCAGCAGGACCTCGATTCGAACCAGCCCTCCTCTTCGACGACCATCTTCCCTGGACTCAACTTATAACCCGAATTCCAAGTATAACCGGCCGGCCGAGAAAAACCAACCCGCAAGGGTGAGTTTCGCTTATCACGAACCAGAGTTGAGCTGCTTCGTCGTTAAGTTTTTGCTCCTTGTGAAGGAGGGGCTCGACACCCCTATTTTTTTGTTTTTCTGCGTGCCTGAGTGTGATCAAAAAGGGGGGGGGGTGGGAAGACACGGCATGGAGAGGTCAACGCCAAGGTATCAAGAAAGAGAGTGAAGAAGCGAAAAAGCCAGACGGGATGTGTAGCAGGGTAGATGCCAGATACTGCCCTTGTCCACTATGTGTAATAACAACAAGTCTGCCTCCTGCCAGAATTCAAATATCCCAATTCAATCAGCACCTTCTCACCCGCTTGCTCCCTGGCATTGATCCCGCATGTCAGTTGATCTTCCATTACTCCTTCAGCGTTTCTGTCTGTCTATCTTCGGCCATATTATGTTTCATGTTGTCGGGCACGCCGGTCTCTGTACCGCTTCTGCCGTCGTCTGCTGCTGCTGCCGACAGTAGAATCTTCCTCCTATTGCGCTGGGCTCGAGCGCCGCAAAAAGTTTGCGTGTGGTCAGCATGGCGGCGGATGGGGCAAAAATCCCAAAGCCCGGGACCTGTATTCTCCTATTCCTGTCCTGGTGCATACTCGCAAAGATCCCCAGCAGTGGTCTGCGAGCTCGGCTTTACTGAATGAGGCCGCGGGCGAGGAAAATCACTAGACTTGTCAGAGTAGATGCCCTGCTGGGATGCTGGTCAAAGACACACTTCTTTCCATATTCATTTCATCAACAGAGTCAGCTGGTATGCTCATTCTTGCACCGGTCAGCTTTAGGGGGGCGCCCCTTCTCATTCAGTCTTGTTTTCGTCATCGGCATCATCGTCCATCGCCTTCGTCTGCTGCCATATTCATATCCAATTTCCCTCTCCCTTTTGCTGCACAGAGACGTCGACCCCCTGTCCCCTCGTCCCAGGCTTTCGCCGAGACTTGCCTCGATTGCCGCCTTGACTTTGACCCGCCATCAGGGCGTCTTCATCGGCATCAGGCTCTCGTTTTGACTTGCCCCGCTGGCTGCTTTGAGTGATCGGCACTTGATTCTGTCCCTGGGTGGCCATAATCGCATCTCCGTCCTGGTCAGCTGCTTCTGCACCACCGTCATCACCTTCCTCTTCCTCCCCCTCCTCTTCATCATCATCATCAACATCTTCGTTATCTTGCGACCCTCCCGGCAGACGCCTCATTTCCTCTTCAGGATCACCATCCACGGAGCCGCCATATCGTTCGTGCCATATTCTTGCTTCGTCCAGCTCATTGATGTCCAGAGGTTTAGACCGGAGCCAGCGCATTCGGGGCCCGCTCTTCGCTCGTTCCGATACTTTGAAGCCGTAAATCTTGGGCTCGTAAATTTTGCCCTTTCCTAAACCTGGCGCAAGGTTGTGCGTGGCAATGCCGTTGATCGTTGCTGGTTGCGGAGGTAATGTGGCTTGAGCAATGGCGGATGCAGATGTCTTGTCGTCCTTAGCTGAGGTGATGCCGGGGATCGGGGGAGCCTGAGGTAAGGTTAGGCTCGAGCTTCGACTGGCCGTTATGCCCCCACGCGTGGCATTCCCTTCGTTGGGACTTAACGTGCCTTCCAGATCATCGGTTGCCTGACTGCTGGGGTCTCGAGGATTTCGTTTCTTGATCGGGGCAACATCTAGATCTGGATAGGACATGAAGAAGAGGCATGGAAAAGTGGTCCCAAAAAAGGCACCGTCGACCGCCTGAAATCTAGAATTCGGAGGGGTGTAGACGTCCAGACAGCTTGGACAAAAGAGTTTGACCGTCTGTTGCCCAGGGGTGTCGGTTAGACCGACCGGCAACACTTTTGCTCCAGCACAGTACACCCGAGGGCAGAAGCCAAAATGCGATAATTCGTACTTCTCCATCATTTGCTGAATCCCCGGTCTGGAAGTGATGTATCGAGCGTGTATCAGACCATACAGAAGTTCCGCAGATGACTCGATGACAGAGGTATCAGATGAGGTTCGACCGTGTCTTCTGCCGCCTGCCGTGCCGCCAGATTGTCGCCTCGACGCCCCATTTTGATTCGCAGCTGGCTCATCCAGTTCGTCTCCCAGAATGCCATCGTCTTCTTCCTCCTCTTCCTCCTCCTCCTCTTCTGACAAGGCCGACGAGTTGGTCTCTGAAGGCTCCACATCAAGTATCATCTCCAGTGCATCCTTGTACATGGGCACCTGAGCTTGCAGTCCCGTCAGGTTGAAATCGTCTTCGATGAAATCTTCGCTGACTTCAGCAAAGTATTCATGGCCGACCAGGTTGCAGAAGGTGCCAATCCAGCTATCTGGACTCTGAGAAGAAGACTGAGACATCTCGTTTGAGAAAGTGGCGGAGGAGCTGGTGAATTGCTGATAGTAGAGGGATTCAGAGTATTCGGAAGCAATTTCGAGCCTGTCCAGGCCAGCGGCCAGGGCGGAGGCTTGTTCGGCAGACAGATTGGGATAAAAGTCGCGTTCAACCGAGAATCTTTTGTCTGTGAGGGTTTATCTTCCCGGTGGAAGGAAAGGTGACGAGAAGGTGAAGGAGTGGTCTGGCGCGGGGTGGGAGGGGTCAGGAAAGGAGAAGGACGGGTATCGTGGGCGGCATGGGGAGGGTTGCGCTATTGTCTTTGGTTCTGGACGCCAGAAGTCTCGCAGTTGCTTTGCCTGCCTGCGTCCTAGGAGTTTCAGGGTGTTGTTTGGACAGGAGGGGGTCAGATCAACTCAGATGGTGGCTCAGCAGGCTGTGTTGATTCAGGAGCAAGGATAGGCAAGCGGTGAAATCAGACAAGGAGCAACTGGCAATGCCTTGGATGCGGCAACATGCACAGATGCGCGTGCTCAAGGTGAAAGCCGATCACAATCTCTTGTCTGGGGAATCCTAAAGGAATGATAGGTGGACGATAGCTGGATATGAATTCCACGGCCGCACTTTTGACATGCGCCCGGAGAGCGAAGTGGACGTCGCAGTGAAGTCCAATCATGCCCAATCAATAGCGACGCAAGCGGGCTTGGCGCCAAGTCATGTGATTCAACAGCATGGCCCAACACACAGTACGAGGTACCTCGTACCACGGTGGGTTGTCACCAGCGAGCCGGGTCCTTGAGAAGGCTGGCTAGCAGATAGACTTAATTGTGCATTCATCATAATATCCTAAGATCGTTTCATGAGCACCAACCTCTTCTGTGAGTGCCCCCAGACTGCCAACTCTCAAAACAACTCGTTCATAATCCTGGCAAATTCTGGCTCGTTTCCAAATGCATTGAACCCTTCCGCCATGCTGATCTCCCCGTTTGCGCCCACAAAGTTGAACGTGTCCGGTCCCGGCGTCGTAGCTCCGTAGCCACCTGCCAGTTCGAACAAACTCGACAACTCATTCGTGATCTGCAATGCGTCATCCGGGCTAACTCCTAGCTCTTGCTGATTGGGGCCTCCGTTCGTCTGGTTCGAATTCGAAGTACCATACGCCTGCTGGTAGTCGACCTTGTGTCCGGCAAGCCCAGCCATTGCCATTGCAGCGTCTGAATGAGCGTCCTGTTCAGCGTCACTCATGCCGTTGCCTCCCCTTGCCAAGAGGCCGATCTTGTCACCCATATCCTTCAGCCCACGAATGGTCCGCCATAGTCGCTTGGAAACATGTGACTTGGTGCTGAAACCCTTGACAATCTCAATCGCCGCGTAAAACTCCTGCCTAGTCTGGGAACAAAAGACAGCCGGAGCATGAGCCACCGACAGGAAGAGCACAGCGAGTGCCTGGACCAGGAAGTAGTTGTACAGCACTTGCTGGGTCTTGTAGATATCAGACATCTGGTTGACTGCGGTCAAGGTGTTGATGGTGTCCTTGGCCACGTCAATCACGTTCTGAGCGTAGTGCCGGTTCTCCATAATGCTGGTGGCGGAATGAAGGATGGGACGATAGATGGAGATTCGTGCCTGGTTCTTACGCAAATACATCAGAAGTCGGAGACGGCGCACCCCGCGGCCAGGTATTTCATTCTCTCTGGCAAGGTCTCGATTGTTGAATTGCAATGATTCGGGTAACTGTGCGTACCACTGCAGGATCTGGTAATCTAGAAATCCGATTTCGTCTTTCTTCGTGTTCTGTCCCGCCTCATACGCGAGGTTATGGTACCAGACCTTTGTAGCGATTTGGTTGTACTTGGTAATGTGTTTTAAATATGGATGGCTCTCGTCCTGCCGCGGATCAACGGGGGCCCTGGAAATGAATCAAGCCGACTTACCGGTTCAGGCAGAGCGGGATCAATGTCTGCATCTTGCAACGCAAATGGCATGCCTGTGCCAAAGCTCCAGCGCCGATCGAGCGCATAGACCGTCCAGAAGATACGGATGGCTTGCTGGTATTCAGCTTCATTCGTAAAGGATTTGACCAGTGAATCTTTTCTGTGGAGGCCCATTTCTATGCACATGCGCGCTGCGATGCCAATGAATCGCCAGGCCTGTGCCTCTTCGTCCTTTTGGAAGTAGAAAGTGGCCTGTTGGTAGAGATCAGCTCGCGTGGCGTGAGAGGCATAATGGGTTTCGTCTTACCGTCAATACGGTCAAAACCACGGACTTGATGTCAAGTGCGGTAACCAACTTCAAATCCGTCGCCGGTTTTGCCGCATCAAAGAATCTCTGGCCAAGCTCGCTGCGTCCGTGCCCTTCGACCGTCAACGTTATAGCCAGGACCATCTTCAAAACAGTGGTCTCCTCATCGTCGAATGTGTCTGCGCCTGGGAGGCCGGGTTGGCCCAGCCCTGTTCTTAGGGACGCTGCAATGAACTTGTACAATGAGTTTGCTTGCTTGAGTACCTTGTCGATGTCCACCACCGGGTACATGATACCAATCTCTTCCTCATAGACTCGACACAGACGAACAACTTCGGAATGGTCAATCAGCCAGAGCGGGTCTTTGCTAGGATGAGGCGGGAGCATCATGATCGGTGATGCTGCCCGGCTTCGATCGCGAGACATCATCCCATCGTCCGGCGCGTTGTGTGTAATGCCCATGGTCTGCAGAGATGATTTGGCCACATCCAATCCATACACTGTGCTTGTCGGGCCATGGAACTGAGGCAAGGCCTTGGGCTGGCTTCTTTTCGGCGAGATGAGGGGCGGTAACGTACGCGACGCCGACACGGACATGGATCGGTGGGAGCCATCGTGGGAGAATTGCGGGTCGATGGAACCCGAATAGGCTATGTCAGGCCTGCTTCGCAACTCACTCAGGCTCGCGTAGAGGTCATTGACTTGCTCTTGGAGGGCGGCGATGTGTTCGCGCATCTGGTTGAACTCCCTACTCCGAAAGTCAATAAAGAAAACACACAGTCAACCGATACTTCAGCTGATCCAATGGAAGACGCACGCAGAGTCTTTGAGTGAGTTCGTGCAACAGTTCGGTGCGTAGATGCACTCGAGATTCAGATTGCCGCATCTTTGGCACGGAGTGTTCCCATTGCATTTTATTTTGCGCCTGCAGTTGTCCCCAAAGTGTCAGCCTCTATCTCGAAGAAGCGCAGGCGGGCGACAAAGAGGTCTACTCACCGCTTACACTCGTTGCTGTTTCATTGACAGAATCCATGTCAGCATACTCGATCATCTCAAAAGTCCTAACCATTAATTTTCCCAGGGATCCTACCACGCAATCGAGATATATCTGTTCCTTTTCGACCTGGTGTGTGATTGTTTCTCCGTCGTTGGGTCAGTCTCGGCCTTGCGTTTTTCGCCATGGCCGTTGGATTGGGGAGGGGAGGCATCGGAAGCGGTGCCAGTGCCTGTAGCCACGCTGGAAGAGACCATGATATTTTGGGTTCTCGATTACAACAGAGCCGCTTGAAAGGGTCGACAGGGCAGTGGATAGGGGTGGAGATATTTCCGCGATTGACCGTGAGGCGAGGCTGATGCACTGGTAAGAGAAGCGGAAATAAGAGAGAAAATAGAGGGGGAGGCGTGGGAGGTTGCAGCGCAGGCTGGAGAATGGAGAGACTGGAGAGAGCTGTGGCCGGGACGGATTATCTCACCTCCGCCGGAAAAACTCGCTACTACTTGTGCGGAGAGAAGGCGGGGAAACCTGGCCAGCTCCGTCCGCTCCAGTGGCCTCCTTGCCTCCTTACCTAGCAACCTAGGTACCTGCCACGCCTGCTTTATTCCTACACCGTCTCTACGCTTTGAGCTTCATATGTTGTACAGGGCACGCGATTGATCTAACAAATACTGTCGAAGCTGACCATACTGTATGCTTCTCACGATACTCCCACTGTCAAGGCTCTCCCCAACAGACTGGTCCCCTAGAGCCCGGCAGATGTCCGCGGTTCGCCGTGCCCCAGAGAAGGAGGCACTTGTTATTTCTTTTTCCCAGACGCCCATGCCGTCACGGTATCCTTGCTTGCCTCAGTCTCTGAGAGCTGGGCGAGGCAGCAATGCATTGGTCTATTTGCCACGACTACTCTTGCTCGCCTTCTGCTCCCTCCTTGCTCCATTGTGTTTCGCACTTGATTCAGTATCAAGGCAACCCGGCCACGGCCACCCCCTTGCGGCCCTAAGCATCATTATGTCTCGGCCTTGCTTTTGAGATTGCGCTCGAAAGATTGTCGCGATTGGGCTTGATGCTATTGCGGTCTCTATCCAAAGCCAGTGACGACATGCCACGGCCTTCAGGCGTCCCACGGAGACATTTATGTCGCCGGTGGTAACGTACCGGGCAATAGAATGCTCAGAACATACCTTGGAAAATATCCATATTGTTCAGGATCTTGCGACAACCGCGTTTAGGTTGCCGGCCCAAGAAGGCCTGAAAGAAAAAACAAAAATCAGTGGTTTCTCCATGTAACCGTGTGAACAGCGAGGCAGCGAGAGGAAAGCTTGAGGGTGTGTGGGGAGACAGACACTTGGACTGATTGCTTTCAGGCTCTACCTTCAGGGTGCCAGTCTCGCGACACTGTACCCCTGTCCACACATTCTCGGTATATTGTCCTTGAGCGGAAGTATTGAGGGAGATAGTTTGTTGGGATACGTCTTGACTGCATAGCTTCGTTCTTTCAATACACCGAAGGAAGCAGTGTTCAGGGCGATGGGCTAATTGCCCCTTTTCGAAGCGTGTTGAACGACGAGGATCGTTGCGCTGGAAGTCTGCCAAGGAGCCTGTCGCGATCCGCAAGAACGAGAACCGGACCATCGTCATACCATGTGAAACTCAATCCCTTTGAGTTCTGTCAAAGTGAAATGTTGAATTCACCTCTTCGAGAAGGGCAGCCTGAGGCACGCACGCAACCAACACACATACCTTCTTCGCAACCTATGCTATACTTGAATTAGGTAAGGAGTATTGACTTTTCTTATCAGTCGTTGGGTTGCAACAGGATGGTCACTTTCTCGTGGGAAATCATTCTTCACTTGGCTGCAAAACCCCCTTGCCGGGGCTGTTTCGGAACTGCAGAAGGTTCAGAATGAAAGGAAGTACCGGTTCATGCAGCAGAGCCAATGAAGCTGGCTAGAATGTAGATCGGGCCAATGGTGTTGCAAGAAATGGCCGAAGAACTACTGCCGAGTGGAAAGCCTCGGATCCTGTTCTTGGAGGGAAGCTCAATGTCTCTTCCTACCCCCTTTTCCCTGCATCTGCATATGGACATGGCAGACATGTGGCACAGCGTATCGCCCAGATGGAAGCGTTCACACAGTCGACATCCTCGCTTCTCACTGTCTCGCACACTTGGAAGGATTCCCTCTGGGCACGAGACCATGTTCTGGACTACCAGTAATCCAAAACCAAATCGACCTACAAGGGGCTGGTCGAGACATCTGGACCTGATGCAAGACGAAAATGTTTCTGGCCGGTGGCAAACGCGACCACTTCATCAAAGTAATTGACCCATTACGGCAATGACTGAAGCGCCTGGCATATGTGTGCCAGGCAGACATGCTGCAAGCAACATGTTCCTCTGCCGTCCAGTTCGTGACAACCGGCACATGCCGTTGTTGAATCTCTCGATCCTCGGAACCTGGGAGATTGATCCCCATCGCATTGGCGTGTTTGGAGTTCTGCAGGTCCTGTATCGATTGCAAACCAGCCCATCCATGGTGTCCCAGGAAGCTCAGAATCCTCTGCGTCTAGGAAGGATCGTCGAGAACATTCGAACGCTCTTTTCATTGTTCCCCGTCCATACGTCAAAGGAAGCGAATGCGTTTCTCCGTCCAAGGGGCTCGGGAGCCAACCAAAGCGTGAACCAGTGGTGTCCGCCCGCCTCTGCATGGAGACGGACATGTGCATTGGAGGGGGGGATCCCTGGTAGGACGAGCAGGCAGGATGCCTGCAAACGGCCGCACCCAAACTGTTGGAGCTCTTGGAGACAGCACCACCAGTCTGGGTGACCAGTACATTCCCGACGGGCTGACATAAGGCCAGGTCTGGGAACGAGGATGGCAAGGACTTTTGCTGATCACTAATTTACTCGCCCTTCTGCAGGGCGAAAGGGTTGGGATTTTCCTGGGAGAGGTGATCAACCGCGCATTGCGTTTGGAAGGATCATTTCAGATATGACACGGGAGTCTTGGGCCCCGAGTCAAACCAGCGCGCGTCCGCCCCAGACCCCGTTCTAGCCCTACGACGAGCTCTCCCCCCTTTACCTTTCTCGACTGGCACGGTCCCATCCATCCAGGATGACAACGGTACCTTTTCAAAGGCCTACCTAGGACTTGGGTGGTTATTGCCTCTTTAACAGGTGAGAGGGGCGATGCTCACTGCCAGCTATACCCGTTCTTTCAACCGAGCCCTTTTCTGCTTGGAGGATTATGTCAGAGAGTCTTCCAATCAAACAGGAGCGTTTCCACTAATTACGCCCGTAGAGTGAATCTCCAAGGGGGCCAAAAGCCGGTGATTGGCGCGGTCGTCATGGCAATTGATCACTCACGGTGATTGACCAGAGAGAGGGAGAATAGGTAATCCTGTCCCAAGTGGCAACCACCACCACCACCACCTTGGGATCAGAAGAGGCAAAAGAGGGTGTAGCAGATGCATTTTTGTGGCAGATCTACGCCTGCCGAACACGAGAGGCCTCAAAGGCGCAAGCAAGGTGAAAAAACGGGGTAAAGTGAGACTTTACACACACCTCTTGAAGCTAGGACATATGATTCAAGGAGGAGTGGAAATACTGCGTACTCCTTGCAATGCCAACATCCACCTTGGCTTGGAGCAGACGGATATTGGAGGGGGAACGGGAGGACACGTAAGTTTTCAGCCTCTGGGGGCGCTTTGCCTGAGGGTTGGGGTTGTTGGCCTCCGCCCACAGTGATGATGATGATGAGGTTGACAGAAACTAGGGAATCAAGACGGCGATTATTGTACCTAGGGGGACTTGTATGGGGTGGTTCAACGGTGGTGTGCGTTGAAACAGGTAGGGGTTTTTGTTTCCTGTATTCCAAATGCCCGACGATTGTCGCCTCCCCGATATCGCCGACCTCAACGCTCGCCCGGCTCGGGGATGAGCAAGCAGGAAGAAAACCGAGACACGTGAGAGGCGGGCTTAGGGGAGAGAGGTTGGTGCAATAATTCGGTGTCTAGGAACGCAAGCCTGGGCCCAGGTATCAGGAGGAACGGGGGAAACATGTTTGTTTGACCAGCCAACACAACCAACTGCCGCCCCCATGCATGCATGCATGATTCGGTTTGTGCAAAGCAGCAGCAGCAGCAGCATCAAATTTCGGCGATCAGCCAGAAAAAACCTGCCGCCCCTATATTTGTGTTCGATTGGACTTGTCTTAGGGCAGCCAGCACACCAGTGAGTGCCGTGGCCAGGGCCGTTTAATCTGTTTCGTAGCGCTCGTAGCGCGTGCAGCCCGGGGAAGCGGTGAAAGCAAAGCAAGCAAGGTCGAAAAGGGCCAGATCCCCGACAAAGAACCAAGTTTTTGTATCGGCGAAGAGGCGGGCTTCTGGAAGCAAAACTGTACCAGGACAGACCTTGTCCTCCGTCGGTAAAGAGGACCGGGGGGGGAGCGACGACGACGACGACTACGCGCTCTTTGTGAAAAGCATCCAGGTACATGACAGCTAATCTGTCGCTCCTACAGCGAGCGCAGTTGAAACGTTCCCCTGGATTCCTTCAGCCTGGTGTTTACACATCAGTGGCTGTGGTGCAGGGCAGGCTAGCATGGAGAAGAGTAGGTAAACTCGTAGAGACAAAGAAGGGTAAACCATGGGGGATTCGCCATGCCAACTCACTCACTACTGCAAGTGACTAACTACCCGCTACTCACTACCGACCCTACTACTCGTGTGAGTGTGTGGCCCTACTCACACCGTTGGGCCCAAACGTGACTGGGTGCTGGGCTGGGGGCGGAGGAGTAAAGATGCCCAAGGGGGAAGGAGCCCTAGCAGAGCCCTAGCGAATTGATCGCAAACGATCATGAAAACATCCCTACGACAAGGTAGTTAACTTAGCTTAATTGAGGGGGGGAGAAACGACAGGATTCGTACTTTAGCGGCCCCATCGCGGAAAATCCGAGCTGGGATTGGTGGATGCCGGTTTCTGGCACAAAATAGGATATTCACAAAACAACAGAGAACAGCAAGACGAAACGGGGCCCGGGGGGAAAGCACCAAGGTGCCCTAGGACTGTTCCGGGAAGGGTACTTGAGGCGTGAGAAAGGGCCTAAGGCCGTAACGAACGCGCAAGACCCAGTTGTAGAGAAAGGGCGGACGCCCTTTGGACGAATGAGATACCAACCGGGGCATAGGGTGGTGGTAAGCGAAGCAAGTCATAATGCCCTGATGGGGGGAAGGGAAGCCCTGGGGGTGCATGGGTGGG